AATCTATTTGGGGTTGTTTTGTATGTGAGAGTTCTACTAGAAAACTGTTGTGTGAGACCTTAAGATCACAGTTTTAGGGCCGAGGATTTAGCTCAGTGGCATAAGCACCTGGCAGGTGCGAGGTCTAACCCCGGCACCAAAAAAAAAAGATCACAATTCAGTTTTTGCCTGTGGATGTCCCATTGCTACAGCGCTTCCCTGCCACCCACCCCTTTTTATTGAGACAGGGTCTTGCTCTATAGTCCAAGCTGGCCTTGAACTCATTACCTAGCCCAGGCTGGCCTCAAACTCAAGATGATCCTCCTGTACCCCTATGTCTGACATCCAGTGCCCATTGTTGAAAAGACTATTTTGTTTGTTTGTTTGTTTTTATAGTGCTGAGGCTCAAATCCAGGGCCTTTCGCATGCTGAACAAGGTCTCTATACCCTCAGCCCCAAAATGGCTGTTCTTTCCCATTGATTGGTTTCCCACATTCCCCAAAAATCATTTACATTACTTACATAGATCTATTTCAGTGTCTGTTTTGTTGCATTGATTTGTTTGTCCTTTTGCCAGTACCACACCATCTTGATTACTGTAGTTGTGATAAGTCTTTAAGTTGTGTAGACTGATTCCTTTTATTCTGTTTTCAGAATTGTTTTAGCTATTTAATTTGTTACCTTTCTTTCCATCTAAATTTAATAAATTTTATTAACAAGTCTTAATGGGATTTTGATAAGTTTTTTGCTAAATTTGTACATCAACTTGGAGAGAATATTTTTGCTAAGTTACATTTTTAAATCTATAAGTACAGTATTCTGCATTGTTTAGATCTTATTTGATTTCTTTCATCAGCATTTTATAGTTTTCTTCATAAAAATCGTATACATATCTAATAGATATATTCCTTATTTTTTTAATTGTAAAAATTTGGTGTATTTTAAATTTTGGTATTCATATGTTCATTGTTACTTGTTTTTTTAAATGTTTATTTTGTATCTTGCAGCATTGCTAAACTCACTAGTTCCAGGAGTTTTTTGTAGATCATGAGGTGTTTTTTTTTTTTTTCTTTTTATGTATACAGTGCTGCTGTTAGCAAATAGGGGCAGTTTAATTTCTTCCTTTTTAAAAAATTTTCTTAAACTTTTATTTAAAGAAAGACTAAAAACAGAAAATGGGTAGAAATAATACATATGTTCAAAGAAAAAAATAAACAGTAAGAAATCACTAGTTGATGTTTACATACTGTCCTCTTACAAATAGTTGTTCAAGATACAAAAGTGGAACATATAAAGTGGGAATTCAAACAGCGAGACTGCAGACAGTTCTGTTCAACTGTCCAACAAACATACATGCAGTTATCCATATCTTCATTTATGTTGAGATTAAACAAACTAAAGCAGGCTAAAATCATTGTGAACAAAGAATAATAGTATTGCTAGACATTCTGGGATCAGCACTGGGTACTGTAGTGTCTTTTTTTTTAAATTTTATTTAAAGAAAGACTAAATAAAACAAAAAGGGTAGAAATAATACATACTTTTGAAGAAAAAAATAAGCAGTAAGAAATCACTACTTGATTACAGATTGTCCTCTTACAAATAGTTATTTAAGATACTAAAGTAGAGCTTATAAAGTGGGGATTCAAACAGTGAGACTGCAACCAGTTCTGTTCAACTATCCAACAAAGACTTAGAAATATGGTTATCAATCCTATACACTTAAACAGACATGCAGTTATCCATCTCTTCAATTATGTTGAGATTGAACAAACCCAAGCAGGCTTATATCACTCTGAACAAAGAATAATACTGTTGCTGGGTTTCGCATTATGACACTCCAGGATCTGCACTGGGTACTTTAGTGTCTCTTTTTCTTCAAAGTATTTGTTCATTTCATCACGTGTCATAAGATCAGTTCTCATAAACTGTTTATAGATTCTACACATGCATGAGTCTTAACATGTATTTCTATCCTTTCTATATTAGAGGGAGAAACAAAACAAAGCAAGACAAAGCAAAACATATTCCTATAAACACATGAAATGAAAAAGACATAGAAGACTATTGTACAAGGAGTTCTACCATAGTTCCTGTGTTGTCTCTTGTTATCTTCAATAGAATTGGCTATATCATCAGACGTGGTATAATTGAATATATCAGTACATACAGTATTAATAAAATAAAACTTTGTATATATTATAAAACTTCAAAAACAGGCAGTTATCAAACCAGAATGTATATCATAGTGAGTCTTGTCATCTTCAGTATAGTTGCCTATACTCTCAGACTTGATACTATCAATCATATCAGTTTTGAATAAAATCTGTCAATATCAAACAAACCAGATTTAACTAAGATCAGTCATGATAAAACAGTGTAAGTCATACAGGGCTCCAGATTAAATTAATAGGAAATTAAAGATGATTACTATATCCTGATGTTTTGGGGATAACTGTGCCCTCAAATCTAATGCAAGTAGACAAACTGGGACAGAATAAAATCTATCTAAGTAGAGTGGTGCGAGTAATGTGTGTTTTAAATCCTGATACACTATTATCAATATCTTCTGCCATCTTTTGTAAGACTCTGCCTCCCCTTTCACTTTCCCAGGGTGCACTGTGCATTTTTGGGTCTGACCAAGACCCTTGGTTTTAAATTGGGTGGGGGGGGCTGCTATTTACCTATTTATCTAAATGGTTCTGAACCTTCTGTCTCTTGGACTTGATCTCTAATTGTATTCCTTTACCTATTAAAGCCTGTCTTTCCAAACCTATCCACAAATAACTGGTCTAGTTGCCCCTATTACTCTCTGGTTCTCTGTCACATAGAGCATTGTTTTCTCATATTTGATTTTCAGTCCATGTACTCTTTTTCATGTTAATTGTATTTCCTATAAATAGCATCTTGGTGGACCCTACCTCCTGATCTACCTAGCCTTAAACGCACTATGTAGCATAGGCTGGCCTCAGACTCGCAGTGATTCTCCTGCCTCAGCTTCCCAAGTGCTGGAGTTACAGGTGTGTGCCACTATGTTTAGCTTGAAATTGAGCAGTCACTGGCTAAAAGCTTTTTGTCTATCCCTAAAAAGCTTTTTTTAGGCTACCCCTTTTGTGATCCTTTATCTAGCGAGAACAGGTCTGTTGAGTTTGTTTTGTTTTGCATTCTGTCTTCTTCATCTGTCTACATTTCTGGCTTGCCAGCTTCTCTAGCTCTGTGTGGTTTATATGAGACAAAAAGAAATCCCAAGGGGCCAGGGATTTAGCTCAGCAGTGTAAGCACCTGCCTGGCCAGCCAGAGATCGTGAGTTTGAACCCCAGTACAAAAAAAAAGAGAGAGAAAAGAAATCCCAGGCATCTCTCCACCATATCCTTGGGTCCCTAGAACCCTGCCAGTGGGCCTTCTATCTACTTGACAGAATTTCCTTGTGTTTATTTTCCATATAATGTCCAGAGGTTTTACTTGTATTTAGTAATAGGGGAATGTATGTGTGATCCATCTTCCTAGAATCAGTCTATCTGGCTGTCTTTTGACGACAGTATAAATAGTAATTCCATTATCTTTTATTATTCAGTGTTTTAATAACAGTAACACTTCTTAGGTACACTGTATACCCTGGTATTTTTATGAAGTCATTTAATTCTTGTCAAATTGTGAACTAATTACTGCACGTTATCCTTTATCACATGTGGAAATTAAGATATAGAAAAGATGAATAACAGGACCAGACTCTCTGGTAAACCCATGATAAACCCCAGGCTGACTCTATAAACTCACTGTTACCTGTCTGCTGAGGAAAATCTGGTAACAGTATTGGTTGGTTGGTTGTTTTTTTGAGACAGAACTCAGGATTATGTAGTCCAGACTAGCCTCAAATTTATAGCAGTCCTCCTGCCTCAACCTCCTGAGTGCTGGAATTACAAGCATGTGCCACCACATCCAGCTAGCTGTTTTATATGCTTTCCATTGTAGCAACTTGATTTTTCTTTCTGGAAAATTCCCATAGTTATTTTATCACGGAATTCACAAACTTTACAAGAATATGTGTTCATATAGGCTTAGGCTGGCCTCAGACTTACTATGTAATTCAGACTGGCTTCAAACTTGGGATTTTTCTGCCTCAGCCTCCCAAGTGCTAGAACTATAGGTATGACTAAGAAAGAATGTTTTAAAATACAAAAATTTAAAACGGTACACTATATATTATCTACCTGTTTTTTTTAAGTCAGAAAAAGAACAAGATACTTAGAAAACAAATAGCAAAATGATACATCAATCCAAACGTAACAGAGGGAGTATTGAATGTGCTTATACACTCCAGTTAAAAAGTAGAGATCAGCCAACTGGCACTAAAAACATCCATCTCCTTGTAATCTGTACTTTGAAGGTAATAATACACAATATATCAACCATTGTTAATCTATTATGTTATTTTGAAATTCTGTATCATTTTTGGTTTTTCTTAAATTTTTTAAAAAATCCATCTTTATACTGTCTATAAGAGACATTAGATTCTAAGACATTAAATGACAGAAAAAGGTATGTCATGTAATAGTTATACTATTATCAAAAAGAAAATAGATTCTAAGACAAAATATTTTACTAGCCAGGTGCAGTAGCACCTATAACCCAGTACTCGGGAAGCTAAGGCAGGAGGATAACCACACCAGAGGCCAGCCCAGCTACATAGTGAGTCCAAGACCAGCCTGAAATACATTTGACACCCTGTCTTAAAACCATCTCCCACCAAAAAGAATTTTACTACATGGATTAGATGCTTTGATTTCTACTATGGTCATCTTATCCTTCCTGGAATTCTTTCAAATCAATAGAATTGGTATTTCCCTTTGAAAGGTGAGAATGTTGAAATACAGTTTGGACAAGTACTGACCTTTAGAAAGTGACATTCTGGAAACTGATACCCAAATTTGCTGACCAAACCTATCCCTTTTTACACCAGCCTGTTTGCCTGTTTCCTCTGTTAGTCCACCTAGGATACCTATTTGATTTCTTCTCTATAGGCTGAGCAGTACTTTATCAAGCCCAGTTAGTCTGAATGAGACATTTCTTAGGGACTGAAGAACACTCATCTAAGTCTTCACTGTTGCAAGAGTCACCTTGTGAGCCCTGTCAGCAATGTGAAGGTAAAGCTAAGCTTCTTATAGCAGTGATGTCTGTGTAACTGGAGTGTACACACTCTGTATGTTTGCTAAAGTACTCTTTAACTCCATCTTCTTTCCTTCCTAACATCTGAGAGTAGGTTAAAAAAATTATAAAGTTCACTAAAGCACTTGCTTTAACCATGCCAAACTGACCAAAATTCAAAAATAAATATTACTCATTATTTGTGTTTGACAATTCTTAGAGAATAGTTTCCGTACAATGAAGCTGCTCATTGCAACTATGAACTTCCTGGCATGAGTTTTCAGAGGCTGAAATTAAAGTAATGGTAAGACTTAGGTTTCACATATAGTCAGTCAGCATCTAATTATATCAGTAGTGTAAATATACTCTTCTGATAACCGACAAGGATAATAAAGATCTGTGGAACATTTCTCAATTATCATCCATAAATCAAAGATGTATTTGCTTGATAAAGTTTTGTTTTGTTTTGATTTTGAAGGAGTCATGGTTATGATTTAGTTAAAGATCTTCAGTTTTGATAAACAGATCTGGCAGAGCTCTTTATTTTGTAAGGACTCAAAATGACAAGGCGTGTCCATTGAAAAGATGTGATGAGTCACCTTATATACCTCATCACCTAAGGAGGAGACAGCGCCACTTGTAGAATTTTATCTGTGTAGTAACCAGTAAGTACTAACAAACAAATCAGCATAAATAATCCTCTTTCAGTGTTTAAACACTTGCTGTTTTCTGGTTATAAAGGTAACGTGAGAAAGGCAGCAGAGCAAGTAGGCTGAGCACACTGGTTTTGGAGTTCGAGAGACCCCAGCTCCCATCATAGGCAGCTGGCCGTGGCATGTGATGAAACTCTTGTCAGCCTTAGTTTCCTTATCTATAACATGGGGAGAAATTATAGTACCTACTATAAAAATTTGAAGTGAGGATTAACTAAAATAATGCTAATAAAATTCTTAAACTAGGACCTGGCAATTAAAGGGATTTTAAAAGTAAGAAAATAAAAATGACTCCTAAAACCACAAGTCATTGTTAGCATTTTGATATGTTAGCTTTCAGAGTTTTTCTGCCAGTCCACATACATGCACACACATATTTTTAAAATTAATTTTATCCTATTTAAATCCTATTTCATTTTTCCCAAGTGTTTTTATTTCTGGCATAAAAATTTACTAAAAACATAAATTTTTTTGGTTGGGCTTTTTTGTTTGTTTGCTTGTTTGTTTGTTTTTCCATCCTGGGAATTAAACTCCGGACCTTGCACTTGCCAGGAAGGTGCTGTTAAAAACATGCTTTCAACACCTTATGATATTATAACATATACCTCTACATAATTATTTAATCATCACTTTGTTAAATGTTATTTTTAATATTTTTACCATTATAAATATTGCTAAAGATTGATTTGTTAGTTTGAAAATCTTTTTAAAAAGTTTTCTCTTTTCTGAACCTTGAGATTGAACATTTGCATGTATGTTGATTACTGTGATTGTTTTAGTGAAATGCCTTTTAATGAAGGAATGCAATTTGAAAAGCTTTTTATTGTAGGACCTCCAGTCTCTAGAATAATGCCAGGTATGTAATAAGCACTAAGTAACTGTTTGATATGACAAATGAACGAATGAATGACAAGAATATTAATACTTTGTCAATCATTATTTGTCTCAAATGAGATCAAGCATTAGAAAACTTTGCTGGGCATGGTGGCACACACCTGTAATCCCAGCACTCAGGAGGCTGAGGCAGGAAGATGGCAAGTTTGAGGCCAGCTTGGGCTACATAATGAGACTTTGTCTCAAAAAATACCAAAAAAGAATAAATAAATGTATAATGCTGTTTTCTTCTTAATTTTTATGCCTAATTTTTTTCCATTCTTTTTTTCCCCATAGTCCATCCATGAGCTCGGATTTCCCACATTACAACTTCAGGATGCCTAATATTGGATTCCAGAATCTGCCTCTCAACATATATATTGTGGTCTTTGGCACTGCTATATTTGTCTTCATTCTTAGTTTACTCTTCTGTTGCTACTTGATTAGGTAATCAGTTTTCATCTTATGTTACTTTGCCCTCATTTAAAATACAATTTAGGCCAGGGGTTTAGCTACTCGGCCTAAGTGCCTGCTTGGCAAATGTAAAGTCGTGAGTTCAATCTCCAGTACCACAAAAAAAAAAAACCTCAACTTATAAACTTGGCAATGGGCAAATTTTCTAAAAGTTAATGTGGTTTGACATTTTAACCTGCTCTTTATATAGTCTTGGGTCCTGTCTGTTGATGAGGTGTTTTACTCTGTAGGAGAAAATTGTCCTGTTAGTTTTTCTACCACATTAGCACTTGGTCCAGATGCACTCATGTCATTATTTGTCCCAAGATTTAATTAACTTTCACAGGGATTTCAAAATTGGCTCAGGAGAAAATGTTGTATTAAAGTCATTAGGGATCTTAAAACAATGTCTGAGATAAGATCCATGCCTTTAGAAAGCTTCTCTCAGGACTTTTTTCTCACTTGAGGGGTGGTAGTTTTGGCCAGAAAAGTTTCATGGCTGATTACTCATAGGTATTTAAACACTTTTATTGTTTCGGTTTTTAAATAGTACCTAATTTTCAAAGCTAAAAGTGAGACTATAAAATACTTCATATGATATTCTTCAAAGAGCTTTTTGGAGTAAACAAGTAGAAAATTGAATTTTATTAAACAGCTATATATCTAATAATTTTTAGTGTTTGTATAATATGTGATTATCATTAAAATAAATAACATCATCTAATGTCTTTCAGCAATTATTCATTATCGCTACTAGTGTTTTGGGATGGTCATGCTGACTAATCAAATTTAAATGAAGTTAGTATGTGCTTTCTAATATTCTGACATTTACATTCTTCATAGAAAAAGAGTCTTTTCTGAAAGTTATCACAAAACATAATTATACCTAATATCTCATAGCTACATTAGCTATTCTTAGGTTTTGGTCAGTTTGTTGAAGATATAGGTCTAAAACTTATGGAAAAGGGGCTGGTGATTTAGCTCAGTGGCATAAAGCGCCTGCCTTCAAGCAGGCAGTCGTGAGCTCAATCCCTGGTACTGATAAAAACGAAAACAAACAAACAAAAAAAAACTTATGGAAAGCCAAGTCTAGAAATACAGAGGTTATGTAATAGTGAAATTAAAAAGGATCCAGGACAGAGTCCTGGATAAAAAAGGAAATCATAGAAGTAAATGAAATAGAAAACAAATATATAAGAAAGAAAATTATTGAAACCTAAAACTAGTTGTTTGGTGAAATTAATAAAATTGATGTATCTTTAGGAAAACTAACCAGAAAAAATAGGGGGAAAATAGATCACCCATATCACAAATTCTGCAAACATTAAAGGCTCACAAGGAATATTATGTACCTATAACAACATATTGGAAATTTTAGATGAATAACATAGATTCTTAGAAAAAATATAGAACTTCAAAAATGACATCACAAAAGGCACTTACAAAAAAACACAACTAATATCATATTTGACAACATACTTAAGTGAAAGATTAAGATCAGGAACACAACCAATATATCTGCTTGCTACTGTTATTTAACATTATACTGGAAGTTCTGGCCAGAGAAATTAAGCAAGAAAAAGAAATAGAAGGCATACAGGTGAAAAGAAATAAAACTATTTTTATTTGCAGATGACTTGATTCTGTGTGTAGAAAATCTTGAGTAGAGAGGAGGGTTCTGTTTTGTTTTGTTCTTCTTTTTTTAAAGTCTGGAGGAAGGGCCAGGGATTTAACTCAGCAGCGCAAGTGCTTGCCTGGCAAGTGCAAAATCATGAATTCGATCCCTGGTATCAAAAATAAATAAAGTCTATGGAGGATTCATTGTAGAATTTATGTTCATTATGTGCAAAGCTTTGGGTTCAATCTCTAGCACCACAAAAGAAATAAAGAAAATTCTATAGAATTCTCAAAAATAAAACCCCTACCAGAGCTAATAAATTTAGCAAACTCTCAGATTACAGGATCAAGATACATGGGCCATTTGTGGTGGTTCACAAATGAAAATCCCACCAGGGAGCCTGAGACAAGAGGATCACCATGAGTTCCAGCCCGAGCTACAGAAACAAATTCAAGAGTTCAAGGCCATCCTATACTACAGGGAGACCCTGTCCCAAAAGGGAACCCCCCAAAAAAATCAACACACAAAAACTAGTTATATCCCCGGGCATGGTGGCACATGCCTGTAATCCTAGCATTCAGGAGATTGAGGCAGGAGGATCCTTGCAAATTCGAGACCCAGCCTGGGCTACAAAGGAAGTTCAAGGCCAGCCTGAACTGCACAATGAGACTCTGTCTCAAAAAGACCAAACAAATAAACAAACAAAACACCCTGGTTGTATTTGTACCCAACAATGAACAATTCTGAAAAGGTCATAAAGAAACAAGTCCATTTACAGTAGCATCCAGGATAATAAAGTTTCTAAGAATAAAGCTAACCATGGTAGTGAAGGCCTATATCCAGAAAACAATAAAACATTGCTGAAAGAAATTCAAGATTAGTAAATGGAAAGACATATCATGTTCATGGATTGAAAGACAGCGTTGTCAAGATGGTAGTATTCCTCAAAGCAATCTGTAGGTTAATGAAATTCCTATCAAATTCCAATTGTCTTTTTTCCAGAAGTAGAAAAACCAACTCATTCATTTGGTACTGTAAGGAGCCCCAAATAAGCAAAACAATATTGAAAAAGAAAAAATAGGATTCGTATGTCCTGATTTCAAAGCTAGACAAAAAAGGTCACTAATCAAAGCATTGTGGTACTGAAACAATGATAGAAATATAAACCAAAGGATCAAAATTAAGAGTCCAAAATAAACCTAAACATTTATGGCCAAGTGATATCCAATAAGGATACCAAAATTATTAAGTAGGAAAATAATTGGTTCTAACCAATGGTACCAAACAGTCAGATATTCACATGTAAAAGAATAAAGTTGGTCCTCTCCTTCACATGATACAGAAGTTAACTCAGAATGAATCAGTGACCTCAACATTGTCTGATATATAAACTTAAGTAGAAGCAGTGGCACATGCCTATAATCTCTGCAACTTGGAAGGTGGAACAGAATGACGAGTTGAGTCCAGGAGTTCAAGGCCAGCTTGAGCAATATAGTGAGACATCATCGCCTTTAAAAAAAAAAAATAACGTGCCTAAAGAAATTACCAAGAATATGAAGACCTGGGGTATAACTCACTATCTGACAAGGGTTTAATATTCACAATGTATTCCCACAACTCAACAAAATACAACTCAATTAAATACCGGACAAAAAAGGGCTAGGGATGTAGCTCAGTAGCAAAACATAAAGCACTTGCCTAAAATGTACAGAGCCCTGAGTTCAATCTCCAGAAAAAAACTTAAAAGTAGGCAAAGAACTTAAATAATTCTCTGTGTACACAAATGACCAACAAACACACCAAAAAAATGTTTGACATACTAATTATTTAGACAATGCAAGTTCAAACCACAATGAGACATTACGTCATACTTACAGGACGCTATATTCAAAAGTATAGAAAATAACAAATGTTGGCTGGGCATGGTGGCACACTCCTGTAATCCCAGCACTTGGGTGGCTGAGGCAGGCAGATGGTAGCAAATTCCAGCAAAGACCAGCCTGGGCTACAAAGTGAGCCCAAGGCCAGCCTGAACCATGAGACCCTATCTCAAAAAGACGTTTAAAAAAAAAAAAAAAAAAAAAAACAGTGTTGGCAAGCAAATGGAAAAATAGCACGTGGGAGGCTGAGGCAGAAGTATTGTAAATTCAAAGCCAGCCTGGACTGCATAGCAAAACTTATCTCAAAAACCAAAACAAAATAAACCAAAAACAGAGTTAGAAGGGCCATGTTCCCTGAAGTCTCTGAAGAATCCTTCCTTGTCTCCCGCTAGCTTCTGCTCATCACCAGCAGCCCTTGGCTTGTGGCTGCTTCTGTGATCACATGACCTTTCTTGTCTTTGTCCTCACTTCTAGGAGGACAGTGAGCTTTGGGGTCCAGCCTAATCTAATATAATTTCCTCTTAGCTAAATAATAATCTGAAAAGACCCTATTTCCAAATAAAGTTACGTTCTGAAGTTCTAACTCAACATGAACTTTGTGAGGGACACTTCAAACCAGTGTACAAAGATAGATAGACCAGTGGAGCAAAACAGAAACTCTAGAAACAGTATCAAACACTGGATACACTTGATTTACAGTAGGCCAATGCAACAGACAGAGGAAAGGCTTTAGTAAGTGGTGGTGAGCAAGTGCATATCTGTGTTCAGATAAGCTGGGCCCTCTGGGAGGCTGAGGCAGGACCATCACAAATTCAACCCCACTCAGAGCAATTGAGCAAGACCCTGTCTCAGAACATAAAGGGGCTGAGGATGTAGCTCAGTGGAAAGGTCTTGGCTTCAAGCGCTAGTACTAGGAAAAAAATCTATACAGGCATAAAAAGAATCTAGACTCCTACCTCACAAATACATAAATTCCAACTTCAGATGGATCACAGACCTATGTGATAGGCAAATAACAAACTTTTCATAACACACCCAAGCGAACACCTTCACAACCTGTTTAGGCAGACATTCTTTTAGCTGGATACAGAAGAACTAACCTAATCGAAGGACTGGGGATACAGCTCAGCGGCACAGCACCTGCCTGGCAAGCACAAGATCATGAATTCAATCCCCTGTACCAAAAAAAAAAAAAGATACTCTAATAGGAGAAAGTTGATAAAATGGACAACATTTAAATGTTTAGAAATTTTACACCAGGCAAAGTGGTGCACATCTGTAATCCCTGTACTCAGAAGGCTGAGGCAGGAGGGTTGCCTCAAGTTCAAGGCCATCATGTGACCCTGTCTCAAAAAAAATTTTTTTAATTGAATCTATTAGAATTGTCTACACATAGGAGTAGAAATTGATAGGGCACTTTGGACCAGCAGTTCTTCTTCTTCTTCTTTTTTTTTTTTTTTTTTTTTTGTATTAGGATTCAAACTCATGCTTGCCAGGCAATTATATAATGGAAGATTTGTCAGTCAGATACTAATACACCCTGAGTGAATCCTGTGATGGGTGATAGGCCAAGAGAAGCCAAACACTTCATGCAAAGGATCCACTTATGTGAAGTCTAGAAACAGGCATACTCTACAGTAAGAAAAGTCAGACAGGGTAAACCTGCAAGGTGGATATTGGTGGGAAGGGGCCATTTCAAAGACTTCAGACCTGCTGGAAATGTACTACATCTTAAAATAAGTGATGATTACACTGGCTTATATATTTTTTAAATTTTTGAGCTGCAGACTTAATGATTTTGTACTTTACTATTGGATGTATGTCACAAAGGCTATAAAAGACACAAAGGGTGCCAGGAGTAATGTGATAAGTGTGTTCAAAAACAGGAGCAGATTGATGGCAGTGTGTCTTTTACTATAATAAATTTTTATGCAAGCAGTCACCATATTTTTGTTAAAATTTATATATTTAACTTGGGGGTGTACCAGGGGTCAAACTCAGCCTCACGCTTGCCAAGCAAGCAGTTGTGCCACTGAGCTAAATCGCTGGCCCTATATTTAAACTTTTAAATTAAGAAAAACTTAGTAAATTATTCGATATTGAAACAAGTAGACTTCATCAATATAAAAACAATTGAGTCATCTTTACAGTATTTGTTGTATTGAGATTTTGTTTTAATGAAATTTCAGAGAATTTCCAATTTAGATATTATTTCTTGGTTCATTGGATACTTTTTCATAACATAGTAAAAGATATGTCATTTGGGTGACATAAGTTAAAACCCAAAATATGAATATAAATTAATACCCAAAACGAGTTTTTAATTTTTTTCAAGTTACTGGAATGTTAATATCACATTGCTTGTTTCTGTCTTTTAGGCTAAGACATCAAGCACACAAGGAATTTTATGCCTACAAACAGGTAAGAAATTTAATTCACATTGGATCATATTTTCCCCCAAATCTTTAATCACTGTTTTTTTTTTTTTTCTTAACTACCTGAGGTTAATTTAGCTTGTGGTTTTAGAGGTCTCAAGGCAGGATGCCTGTACATGGTGAGATAGGGGGCACTGTGGGAGGGATCTCACTGTGGACAGGAAGCAAAAAGCTACACTCATACTTTAAGCCAGGACTGGCTTTAGTAATGTTTATTTCAGCATTCATCTGACAATTTTCAAAATAAAATAAGTAACTTGATTTTCTCACATATTCTTTTCTTTCATTAGCATTTGTTGAAGCAATAGAAAGTTTGATGATAGAATAATAGACAACTGGAGCCAGCATTTTGCTAAAGAGAAATGTTGTGTATTATAATCCTTGAAGTTATTTGTAAAGAGTTTAGATTCTTAACATGTAAGAGAATTTTTCTCACCTCCATTTAAAGATATAGCAGTTCCTCAGAAATAACAGCTATGGTAAACTGATCTCATCTACTACCTTTTTACTTAAATGTTACCTGAGGTCACAAATTCATAGGCAGCCCTTCACCAGCCCTTCACTGATTTGTTCTAAAGCAACTTTTCTTTTTTTGAGGTAGGATCTCAACAGCTTGCTTATATGGTACAGGCTGATCTTGAACTCATGGCAATCCTTTTGCCTCACCCACCCAAGTTCTGGAGTTACAGGCATGTACCACCATGCCTGGCTAAGCAGCTTTTCAGGAAAGCCAAGTAAAAGTGTTTTTTTTTTCCCTTCCATGTGTCATTTGTTAACATTCTATGACTGACACTAAACAGCCGGCCTAGAATCTCCTTAGTTTTCTTTTTGCCCTAAGCATAAATTTTTGAGCTGCAGACTTAATGATTTTGTACTTTACTATTGGATGTATGTCACAAAGGCTATAAAAGACACAAAGGGTGCCAAGAGTAATGTGATAAGTGTGTTCGAAAACAGGAGCAGATTGATGGCAGTGTGTCTTTGCATAAATTTTTGATGCTCTCTTTTTTTATCAAGAAAAGAAGAAGCTTCTGTTTATTTGGGTCTTTAATCTTGCTGCCACTGATATTACAGGACCATGTCATCATTTTAAGATCATGGATCTTTCTGTCCGTCTTTTGTCCCACTGTCTTTGGAATAGGGACTTTGACATGTTCCATAGATGTACATATTGGATATTTTTGGTAACCTCATGCTCTTCCTCATAGATCTCATGGGGGACTCGGAATTAGAATTGAATGTCTTAGTTTTCTAAGCAAGTGGATCTTTCTATCTCAATTCTACTATAATCTTGACAACCTACATGTTTGTATGTCACGTAATAGGTGAAATTACCTGATGGAACAAATTAAGTCACAAGTAGGATTAATAATCCCCACAGTAGGATTAAAATAATTTTAAAACAGGTGTGGTGGGATTACATCTGTAATCCCAGCACTCAGGAGGCTGAGGCAGGAGGATCACTGCAAGTTTGAGAAAATCCTGGGCTACAAAGTGAGTGAGCTCAATGCCAGTCTGAACTGCATAAGGAGACCCTGTCTTGAAAAGTAAAAAAAAAAAAAAATAAATATATTAAATAAATAAATAAATATGTTAAGCTAGATTTACTTCTCAGGAAAGTTTACTTTCAGAGAAGAAAGTTTTAAATAGGATTCTGCCTCATTATCACTTGGCATTTACTTTAACTGATATCTGTTCACCCCAGAATCAGGTTAAGGACAAACTTGGATGAAATTGTAGCCCATTAATATAACTCTGAATAGAAGTAAAATTTGCTGAAGATATTGACGTATAATAAGCAAACTTCCAAACTTAAGATTGGCTTTATTTTTAATCTTGTGAATTATTAATCAGTCCCATCAGCCTGTGCTATTTTACTGAATCAGTCAGTCTCCACACTGATCACTTAGTTCAGGTGGGCACAAGTTAATATAAGTTTTAATCTACCTGAAGGAGATTTTAAAAGTGCTTTTCAGAATAATGCATCATTATTGAAGTTACAAGAATGTTGTTAAAATATTCTGCCTCAAATTGTAAAGGAGATGTTCTCCAAAATTGAACTTGAGGGAAATATATATAGAAGAAAACTTTTGGTGAGTAGAAGGAGAAATGTTTTAAGTTGCAGATTTAAATAGGTATAAGAATACTTTTTTTGTTGTTTTACAGGTTATTTTAAAAGAGAAAGTAAAAGAACTGAATTTACATGAGGTAAGTTCCTTATAAATAGTGTTTTAATCTTATCTTGAGCTATTTTCTAATATAAGCATTATGTTGTGGTGTGTTTAAATACCTTTATCTTCACAAGTTAAAAAATAAGTTTACTTTCATCAGTGAAACAGAATATTTGAGAGACTCAGTCTTGTGAAGTTTGAGAAGAGTAACACCCCCTGTTTCTAATAGGGGCCAAGGTAAATGAAGCATGACTTACTGTTTGATTTTTTTTCTTTTTTTTTTTTTTTCTTTTTTTTTTGGGTGCTGGGGATCGAAGTCATAAACACATGCTTGCCAGGCAGATGTTTATGTCACTGAACTAAATCCCTACCCCTTCTGTTTGATTTTTAACTTTTTCCAAAAGTTAATTTTGACACGTGACCAAAATTAACATGAAGATATAGAAATTGATTTCTAATTGAGGCCTTCTGATAACCATCAGTGAAAAGATTAAATTCTGATATACATTAACATGCTGAATAACCAAAATGTGTCAGGCAAAGATTGGTTTGACTCATCACTTGAAGGACTTCATCCTGAGTGATAGCAGTGTATTACGTCATAGAGCAAGTGTCCCAACTGCGTCATCAATTCCAGCTTTGCTGAATCGAGCCATTAGTTGATTTGTTTACTGCAGTACCCCCAGCTCTGGTTATGGTGATTAGTTGTTTTGGCCACTGAATTATTTGCACCTTTATCAAATTAAATGGCCATATTTGCATAGCTCTACTTTGTGTTCTGTATTCTGTTTCCTTAAATTTTGTGCCTACCTCTTCATCAGTACCAGCTGTTTGCAGTAAATCCTGACTTTTGAACATCCAAATTTTGAATTTTCACAGATTTGAATGGACCATGCATTACAAACATTTGTACACGCGAACAAATTGTGTACTTAGCTCCTGTGCATGAGGACATGGTCACAGTTGTGCTGCTGAATGCTGACTGCACAGTACAATAGCACATAGCAGTAGCATGCTCAGTCAGAACTCAGGATGCCCAGAAGCAAGAGGAAAAGCAGGGGCGATGTGGAGGGGACCGCCAGGAAGTACAAGCAGAGTACATTGTATAATTATGTCAAACATGTGTAAGACTTACTTTGTTCCCAGCACTCGGGAGGCTGAGGCAGGAGGATCATTGTGAGTTTGAGACCAGCCTGGGCTACAAAGTGAGCTCAAGGCCAGCCTGAACTGTATAACGCGAGACCTTGTCTCAAAAAAGACAAAAAAAAAAAAAAACACTTATTTTGTTGGACTTAGACAAAATCCAGCTTACAAACATCCTCCCACAATGGGACTCATTTGTATTTGGAGACTTACTATACTGTACCTTTATAGTAAATTTTTAAATGAAACTGTCATTTTTCAACTTTATTTTTCTTGTCCAAGATTTAGTTATCTTATATGTTTTCTAAGGCTAAGAATTTATAAAGATAAGAGGTTCGTTTTGCCTCAGAGTGCTACATATTCAAAAGCTGACACTGGTACTTGCTCAACTATCAGGAAAGTTCACATGCTGCCCCACGATGGCAGGGAAGCAGGCATGTACAGAGAAAGCTGCTTCAGTGAGACTGGAAGCCAGCAGGCTTCTTAAGAGCTCACTGTCACAAAGCCAGGTATGGTGGCCACACGCCTGAAATCCAAGCACTTGGGACACTGAGGCAGAAGGATCGTTGCAAATTCGAGACCAGTCTGGGCTACAAAGTGAGCCCAAGGCCAGCCTGAACCGCATAGCGAGAACCTGTTTCAAAAAGACAAAAAAAAAAAAAAGGTTCACTGTCACAATAACTAACTCACACATGGAAAATCTACTCAAGTCTCAAGAAAACTAACCCAGCCCCTCAACACATTGAGGAAAAAGCTCGCATGAATGTTGGTGGGGACAAACTATATATTCAGACCATAGCAGTAGTCTAGTTCTTTTGCCCTTCGTGTGAATTGTGGCATCAGCTTGCCTATATCAACTGAAAAACAATAACATAAATCCATTTGAAGAGAAATGGCCTTTACTGTATTGAATCTTCTAAACTGAACAAACACACTGTGTCTTCATTTAGTTACTTACTTGAAGCTTTTTTTTTTAAACTAGGTACATACATTTAGAGTTTTTATGTCCCTTGGTGATTGATTGTTGTATCAAGATTTTCCTTCATCCCTGATAATTTTCTTTGCTGTGATGTCTTTGTCTGAATATAGCCACTCCAGCTGCCTTTTGATTAATATTTTCATGGTATGTCCTTTTCAGCCCTTTGTTTCAGTCTCCCTATATAACTGTATTGAAGTGAATTTTCTTACAGACAGCCCATGTCTGGGTCATGATTTTTTATTCCACATTGCCATTTTGTCTGAATGTATTGAGACCAAGGTATCAACTGATAGTGTAAAACTCTTAAAAGTAAACACAAGTGTATCAGCCTTCATGGCCTTAGGTGAGGAAGTGGATTCTTAGAACAAGCAGCCAAAGAAAAACAGATAAACTGAACTCATCAAAATTAAAGGACATCAGCAAGAAAGAGAAAAATGAAGGGCCTGGTGGCACACACCTGTAATCCCTGCACCTAGGAAAGTGAGGTGGCAGAATTGCCATAGTTCAAAGCCTGGGCTATGTAGTGAGTTCAGGACTATCCTCAACTACACAGCAAGACCCTGTCTCCAAAGTGTTTTTTAAACTTGATGGAGTCCAGTTTATCAGTTTTTTCCCATGGTTGCCTATGCTTTAGATGTTACATGCTTTTGATGTATGTATTCCCAGTCATTTTAACATCATGTGATAAATGGCCATCCTCCTGTCACTGAAAGGCTATTGCACCTTTGTTGGATAAGTGGCTACCTGATAAGGGACTTATGTCTAAAATATATAAAAATCAGCAGTGTAAACACCTGCCTGGCAACCACTAAGTTGTGGGTTTGATTCCTGCTACCAGAAAAAAATAAATAAAATACATAAAGAACTCTCAGCAGTCAGTATAATAAAAAGAGAAACAAACCAACCCAAAAATGGGCAAAAGAACTTGAATAGACATTTCTCCAAAGAAGAAATATAGTGACTGGGTGTGGATGCACATGCCTGTAATCCCAGCACTGGGAAGGTGAGGCAGAAGGACTGCCATGAGATCACAGGCAGCCTGGGCCAGTCTCAGCTGCATGGTGACACACTGTCTCAAAAATGATAGAGACAGACAAAGAGACAGAGAGAGAGAAAGAAATGACCAAAAAGCACCTCATGGGTAGTCACCAGGTAAATGGCCACTTCACATTCACTAGGATAGCTATGATCAAAAAGACCATAATTAATGCTGGTGATGATATGGAAAAAATTGGAACTCACATACTGCTGGTAGGAATGTAAAATGGTACAACCACTTTGGAAATCAATTTGATAGCTCCTCAAAAAGTTAAATATAGGGCCAGGGATTTAGCTCAGTGGTTTAAGTGCTTGCCTGGCAAACGCAACGGCATGAGTTTGATCCCTGGTACAAAAAATAAATAAATAAAAAGGTTAAATATAGAGCCAACCTTGGTGGCACACACCCGTAATCCTGGTACCAAGGAAGGAGGAGCACTGTAAGTTCAAGGCTATCCTTGGTTACATAGTGAGTTAATTAAGGGAAGCCTGAGGCTGCCTAGTGAAACACTGTCTCAAAAAAAAAAAAAAAAAAAAAAAAAAAAAAGGGTCAGGGATTTAACTCAGCTGCACAGTGACTGCCTGGCAATCTGGAGGTCATCAATTTGATTCCCAATACCAAAAAAAAAAAGTTGAATATAGAGTTAGTGTATACATCAGTAATTCTGCTCCTTGGTATATACCCCAAAAAACTGAAAACAGGGCCTTATATGCTTACACATCAGTGTTTATAATGTCACATTATAAAGTATCATTCCACTGTATTAGTCACAGTAGCCAAAAGATTAAAAACAACCTTAATGATCATCAGCAGATGAAAGGATAAACAAAATGTTATCTGTCTATACAATGGAATATTATTCACCTATAAAAAATCAATGAAGTAATTTATGTAGTACTCCTTGAACATGTTAAACTAAGGGAAAGAAACCAGACCAAAATAGAACATATTTTATAGTTCCTTTTATTTTATTTTTTGAGACACAGTTTCACCATGTTGTTCAAGCTGGCCTTAAACTCACTGTGTAACTCAGGCTGGCCTCAAACTCATAATAATACTCCTGCCTCAGTATTAGGATTACAGGTGTGTGCCTCCATACTCTGGTAGGATAATTCCACTTATTTGCATGGGTTTTGTTTGTTTGTTTGTTTGTTTGGTACCAGGGATGGAACTCATAACCTCACGCTTGCCAGGCGGGTGCTTATGTCACTGAGCTAAATCTCCAACTCCTGTAATTCCATCTATATGGGATGTCTGGAAGAGAGAAACCCATTAGGACAGAAAGTAAATTAGGAAGTAGCCTCTTACAAACATGGGTCTTTTAGGGATAGGACATTTTGACAGTGGCACTGGGTTAGTAGCTTTGAATATACTTTAAAACTGCTTACTTGTATGCTTAAAGTGATGAATAATACAGTATGTGAATTATATTGCAGTTTTTATTTTTTAAAGATGAGGGGAAGCTCCAGAAGAGAAATAATCTGTCTTTGAAATACTGAAAAGTAATGCTCATTTGCATAATCCTACCTAGAAAAGAAAGTTTTTCAGTGATTTGGTTCTTAAAGAACTTATAGGCAGTCAGGTCTGAGGCTTTTGTCTTTTTGTGATTGCTCTTAATTGGTCTCTTACCACTTAACTGTTTGAAGTTGTCTTACTGTTTTTTTTTAATTTTTTTATTTTAAACATAGTAAAACAAAACAAAACAAAATAGAGCAAAGCAAATCAGAACAGAACAATGCAAGCAACACAGGACTTCAAAAGAAGACAACAGGATATCAATAGTGGCTATCATAATGTCTCTTATTTTCTTGAAAATAGTTGACCATATCCTCACACACAATAATATCAAACATAACAAAATAGTATAAAACCAATCAAAAGAATGAAAGCATTATAGTACTTCAAAACCAGGTAACAGGGGCTGGGGATTTAGCTCAGCAACATAGCACCTGCCTTGCAAGCAGGCGGTCATGAGTTTGATCCCTGGTACCAATTAAAAAAAAAAAAAACAGGTAACAAGAAATGAATAGGGGTGACTGTAATATCTCATTTTCTTTAAAAAAAAAGTTGTCCATACTGTCACACATAATAAAAATCAAATAAAACACAACAGACTAGAACCAAAAAAAATAAAAAATAAAAAAGAATTAAAAGCATGACAGGACTTCACAGCAAAATGACAGGAAATCAGCAGTGGCTACCATAATGTCTCATTTTCTTCAAAATAGCTGTTCATACCATCATACATAATAAAGTCAAACAAAATAAAACAGTAAAATCAGTTAAACAAACAAATGAAAGCATTATAAGACTTCAAAACAAGATAATAGGAAACCAACCATAATTATCATAGTATATCCCATTCTGTTCAAAATAGCTGTCCATACCATCAGACAGTAAATCTAACAAGATAACAAAGGCAAACCTAACAAAATTGTGAAAACAATACAAGAGTTAAAGACAAGACAATAAGAAATTAACAGTAGTTATACCTTTCCCTTCCACGAGTTTCCTCCTCTGTCACTTTTACAATAACTATTTAGCTTTTTGGATTCCATTAACTCCTGTTTTATATGCTAGGGTTCACATGTATGAATTCAAACTGTTTCGCCTATGAACATGATCTCCAGTTGCATCCATTTTCCTGCAGGAGCCTCGAGATTATCCTACTTTATAACTGGGTAGCTTTCCACTGCTTGGAAATACCATATCTTTCTTATCCATTCTGCATTTGAGGGGCAAATTACCCTTCTTTTTTCTGGCCTCCTGTCACATGGAACAATTGTTTTCTCTCCTTTGATTTTTTTTTTTTTTTTTTTTGGTCTTTTTCCTTTTTATCGGTACCAGGGATTGAACTCACGACTGCCTGCTTGCAAGGCAGGCGCTTATGCCACTGAGCTAAATCCCCAGCCTCTCCTTTCATTTTCAGTCTATGAATTTCCTCTCCAGTTAAATATTTCTTATCTAGAATATGTTGATGGATCTTGTTTCTTGATTCACTCTCCCTGTGTTTCTTCTTATTGCTAACCTGGGAGCATCTACATTATGGGTTACAACCAGCATACACTGGTTTGTCTCTGCCCTGCTATCCTGCGGTTGGCCCTCCACTTTTCCCCTTCGTTCAGCTGCCTGTCTTGTTTGGCGATTCTCCTCTGCTACTATTCCTGGAACCATGGTCATCTTTATCTCTCTCTAGAATATTTGCTATCACTATTTAGGGTTGGTTTCGTGATCATGAATTCCTTTAGTAGTTTGTTATGGAAGTATCTTACTTTTCCATCAATTTTGAAAGATAGTTTTTCAGGGTACATCAATCTGGGTTGGAAGTTGTTTTCTTTCAGGATTTGAAACACTGTACTTCAAGCTCTTCTTGAATTGATAGTTTGTGTTGACAAGTCTACCATAATACTGACTGGTTTTCCTTTATAGGTGATCTGTTTCTTTTCTCTAACAGCTTTTAATATTCTGTTCCTGTGCTGAATTTCTGGGATTATTATATGTTTGGGTATAGATTTACTTTAGTTATGACTAATTGTAGCTCTCTATGCCTCACTTACCTGCATGCCAGATCCTTTCCCCATGTTTGGGAAGCTTTCTGCTATTACTTCTGTAAATAGCCTTTTAATTTCATTTGTGTTCACCCCTGCTTCTTCACTAATACCTATCACTCTTAAATTATGCTTCCTTATGTCATCTTGCTGCCATTGAATTGTTATTTCCTGATTCTTTTTTTATTTTTAAGAGATCTTTCCTAGGGGCTGGGGGTTTAGCTCAGTGGCATAAGCACCTGCCTTGCAAGCAGGCGGTCGTGAGTTCGATCCCTGGTACCGATAAAAATGAAAAAGACAAAAAAAAAAAAAAAAAAAAAAAAAAAAGAGATCTTTCCTTTCATGATCGCTAACTGCAATCCTATCTTCAAGGTTTGAAAGTCTATCTACAGTCTCTTTCAAGCAGTTTTTCCAGCTTTCGATTGGCTTTTTAATTTCCTGGATCTCTCTTTGAATCTGTTTCATGCATTGTAATTCCTTTCTACATTGTTCATTCAAAGTTTCCATCATTTTCCTATGCTCCTCTTTTTTATGTCTTTTTTTAGATATGCTGAGCATTTCTTTCATTATGTTTATGATTCCTTCTTTTACCTGGGACTTCTGATTTTATTGCTTTTATAGTCTTATTAAGTTGTTTCTTTAGTTCAGTTGCTATAGTGGCCTGGGATTTAGCTCAGTGCCATAAGTGCCTGCCTGGCAAGTGCAAGATCATGAGTTTGATCCCCAGTACAAAAAAAAAAAAGTCAGGTACAGTTGCTATCCTCTCAGACATTTCAGGTGTGTGATTTCCGTTTTCTTCTGGGACCGTATCTCCCAGACTTACTGTGTGTGGGCTAGAGGTCTGAATTTTGCTCATTCATCTTGACATTCTCCTGGGTTCCTCCCAAAAAGCTGGTTGTGGAGCCTTAGGCACTTCCAATGTTGCCTGTCCCTCCATGGGTGGAGTGTTTAGGGCTTAACTGGCTGTGTGTCCCTGCTCCTGCTGGCTGCCTGCAGGAAGCAGCCTTTTGGTGGTGGTGACAGCCAGCGGGCAGAGTTCAATCTGCTGGCTCTCTCTGCCCACGCTGGTCGCCTGCAGGAAAGAGCCTTCTGGTGGCGGCAGCTTGCAGGTAGAATCAGATCTGCTGGTTCTCTCTAACCACACTGGCTACCTACCTCTTACAGTTCAAAAAAAAAAAAAAATTAAGGCATTTATAACTTTAAGGATGTGTTTATATAGAACATAATAGCACACGATAACCATTATCAGACTCCTCTTTTTTGGTTTGTTCTTTTCAGTTTTGGAAATTGAACCCCTTGTGGATGCCAGGCACATGGTTGGCATGTGTTCTGCCACTTACCTGTATCCTCAGCCCTTTTTATTATTTTTTGTATTTATTTTTTTATTGTTGTTAGGATCTGTTACCCAGACTGAACTTGAGCTTGCTGTCCTCCAGCCTTAGTCTCCTGAGTAGCTGGGATTACAAGTGTGTGCCATCATGCCTAGCTATGAGCTCCATTTTGAAAAGACAGAAAATATAATTTTGGACCTTGGAAAAATAAGTGGATGAAAATGAGCAATGAATCCAACTTGTGCTTTGGTATGGTTTGTACTGAACCTCCAAAGGACAGGACTAAGCTTGTGTCAGATGGTTCAGGTGAGGGCTTTTGAGGGGTACAGGTCCTGTTGAGTCTAGGAGGTGGAAATATCATCCCCCGTTACAGATGGCAAAGAGACCGTAATACTGAAACTGTTAGCTTCTTTTTGTCCACAGATTGTTCTTAACTTGCCTCCAGAAACAAAAAATGGGTTTGACAAAAGTGCTTCTGTCACAGAATGTGAGCATTAATAGCTAGGACTGGTGTACTGCCTTTCCTCACCCTTCTACCCTCATCGGATGGCAATTGTGAGGAGCAGACTAGTAGCATCTTTCACAGATGGAGGGACGGAACTGTGAGGGATATCAAGAGCACAGGCCATACTGCTAATTGTGTCCAAGTCCAGGCCAGCTGTCTGCCCTGCTCCTCCTCCTCCTACAGGTCTGACTGACACAGTCATCCTCTCTTCTCCTGGCAAGATGCTGTCTGTGTAGATGAAGGGCTGTTGGAAGACCAGCATTCAGGGTGCTGGCCACAGCATACATTAACGTAGGAAGTTGGGCTGACATGGTAGAGGTTAGGAAAGTGTGGACAGTAAAGCCAGGTCATTAACAAAAATCAGGGATCACTTGAACCAGGCCGCTGGGGACACAGAGACTGCATGTGGAGGTATGCAGCCACTGGGCAAGAGCCTGGGTTCAGTGGTGCATCAGGGCAACACACCTGGGTCCCCGGCCACGCCCAGCTGCTCTGAGTTTATGTCCCCATACCTGTAAAATGGGCAGCTGCAACACAGTGTCCAGGGCATTGATCAGCACTCAGGAAGTAGCGTGGGACAGACTGATGGGCTGTTAGAGAGCAATCGTGGCCCTGTCTGCATATTTTCATAAATTTTAACTTAGTGAACTACAGAAGGAAACTCTGGAACTACAGTAACATGTTACTGCAAGCTGCTCCACAAGCCCAGAGTAAAGACTGCCCAGAGTGTGCCCAGAGGGAGCCAGGGCTGTACCACAGAGCAGGGGAAGGTGAAGCCCCAATGCGTCACAGGACCCAACCTTGTCACACAGCCGTCCTGTCTGCCTTCTTTGAGCCATGCAGTAGGAACAATGTGAGACTCTTCCTCACAGGCTGTCGTCCTGCCAGCCTGTCCCCTTACATAAAGAACCGTGGGACACCGTAAGTCCCTTCACATGACCTGGGCGCATACCCAGCAGACCCTTGGCCTTATTTATGACTTTGTCTTTCAGCTCTGTGCAGTGTGTCTAGAAGACTTCAAGCCTCGAGATGAGTTGGGAATTTGTCCATGTAAGCATGCCTTCCACAGAAAGTGAGTATCATTGTGGAATTATTTAATGTGACTCAACTTAGAAGCACATCAGCCAGTGTACTATGGGCCTGGGGGCAATGCCAGGTGGCTTCACAAATAATCTATCAGAAATCTAGCAGAAAGCTGATGGAACCCTCCAGGCGGGTGGGACAGGCAGGCAGACGATGACCACCCCAGCTTAGCTTGGGCAGAGCCACCTAAGCCCACACCTCATTGGAGCGCAGGCAGTAAACAGCTGTTTGGCTGGAACTTTCCAGTGACAGCTTCTATCTCCTAAGTATGTTTTATCAGAACCATAGTTATTTTAAGCCATAATAAACAGTCTGGATATAAATGGTGGTATGCGACTGCCTCCTCCCCCTCCCTGAAGACACAGAAATACTCTCCCTTTGCGTGCAGTTTTGTGTTTTGGATTTATATTAGAAAACTGGGTTCAGTGGTACATCAGGGCACCACTTCCCACCTACTTTCTCAGTGGCCATTGTTCTTTAGTGGGCAGCCGAGGGCTCAACACACTCACCATGGCTTCTCAGTACCACCTTGTGGAAGACAGAGGTGCTGGTTCCTCCAGAGGTAGCAGGCATCCTCTGCATGTGTTGGGGCCCCTTGGGACCACACACAACTCCTCACACTTTGGCTTTGGATCCCAGATGTGTTCACAAGCCATGGCAACAATGGGCTGGGGACGGGCTGCCACGAGCCTGGGGCTCACACCCCATCGTGGCATGTCATTCTGCAGGTGCCTTATTAAATGGCTGGAGGTTCGGAAAGTGTGTCCCCTGTGCAACATGCCGGTTCTGCAGCTGGCGCAGCTGCACAGTAAGCAGGACCATGGTCCCCCCCAGGGGCCCCTCCCTGGAGCAGAGAACATTGTATAGCTCACTGCACGGATCAGACTGTCACTGGATAAGACACCTGCGTAGAGCCAGGAGGAACATAAGCAGTCTCTGTCTCAGCTGCTGTCTACCTGGGGCAGCAGCTGCCACATCCTTTGCCTCATGGAGAACTCTCGGGCCAGCCAGGCTCAGAACCCAGGCATCTGGGTCTTGTGACAATCAAAGCAGTCTGACACCACCCCATGCCAAGAGGAGTGGATAAGCCTGCAGTTTGGTTCGAGACTTCATGATGGTCTTCTGCTAACTCCATTATGCAGTCTACCAGACACTTGCCTCCATGTCAAGGTGACTCTTTACTAGGCAGAAGGGAAGATGAACCCAGGTGTTAGAGAATTGAGCTGAGGAAAGGTCTCTGAATCCACGCCCTCCCCTATGAATGGATACACTTCTGTGCAGGCCCCACAACCCTCCTGGCACCCCTGAGCAGTAAACCCGTGGTGATGCCAGCTGAGGCACAGCCTGCCAGTAGTTAGCGGGGCAGTACCCATAAAGCTGTGTTCTTTTGCTAAAGCCATGCTGGAAGCTACAGGCTTGGGACACAGAGCAGCAGTGCCTCTCGCCACAGCTCAGCCCAAGTTCACAGTACTCGCTGTCAGATCAAGCTGCAACCACTCGATGTGCTTGGAAAGGTCCAATCCGAAGTCATTTCCTCTGATCAGTTCCCTCCTTCTCACCAGTGGGGTTCATCAGGAGTCCACGCCATCCCTGTGTCCACAGTGCTGCCCACATCCCAAGTGCAGTGTTCTTATAGCTGCTGCTTTCTGCCTGTTGGTTTGTGGGGGGCCACTGTGAGCCCCTCAGATGGCCCCAGAGAAGTGCACCTTCCTGAGGGAGGCTGACCCACCTGGCCCTGCTGGATGAAGAGAATGCTGACCCCTTTGCCTCCCCCGCCTTTTCACTCTCCTCTTTGTCCTCTCTTGCTCTGTTTCTACTTAAAAATACCTGCCCTTGACTTTAACAGTTTATCCCATGTAAGGCCTCTGGGTAAGTCACAAGCCTGAAGCCAGTGATCCACTCAAAACTGTAACAGGGTTCAGCCCCTCCTCCACTGGTGAGTGGATTGCTGGTTGCAAGCATCTTTATACGAGAGAAATGCGTGCTGCTCCTTGGCTCTTTCTGACCTGCTCTTCTGGAAATGATTCAGCCACTAGGACCTTCGAACACTGTAAATCAGCCACATAAAGCAGCAGTGACAGGGAACATTCTTTCCCACTGCCTGCTCGCCCCCTCCTTTGTCACCAGAGTGCTTCCCCAGGGCCTCGGTAACTGCTTCGCTCTGCTGCGCCCACAGGCGTGAGTGGGGAAATTTCTCCACCAGAAACAGACTGCGACTGTGGTGGGTAGAGAGGGGGCTTGCTGCTCTGCTTGTGGCATGTCTCCGGGAAGTTTTCTGGGGTTGGTCTCTGCTGTCTTGGAATGAGAGCAAACCTGTTCTTGGCTTAGGTGGCTGGAGTCAGATGAGGAGGAAAATTCCCTTTTGCCTAGAAAAGTGCTGAGCAGAATCGTTTGGAAAATTACTAATCTGGCTGGTCAGAATTGGCTGTTTCCTATGGGTGACCTATTTGTGGTATGCCAGCTGGACTGCTTCCTAAACAGGGCAAGAGAAGGAGGAACTATTTTTACACAAACGCCTTAGCCTGTTTGGCCCCATGTCCAACCTCCTTTTGTGTTGGTTTGTAGTATGACTGCACTGAGTGCTGTAACCCCAGTTTACAGTGAAATGTTTTCAGCGACCAATGTCAGAAGTGGCTTGCTTCTGGCCTGACCTCATTCATGGCTAGCATTATCATTTTCCATGGCAGCCCTGGGACAGATGTTCTTTCTAGTGAGTGCCGACAGAACCCTTGGGGGAGGAATGCCTGTGACCTATACAAACTACTCCACTCAGCTTCTGAAGGATTCTAGCATTTCAGTTACAGCCTTTTCTGTCCCTGTGCATTCATACTAAGGAGACAGCCTCACCAAGTCCCTGCCTTTGTGCAGCAGCAGGGTAAGTGAGCTCACTGGGTGAGCTCTAGGCAGGCTGAGGCAGTTGATGTCAGACTGAGCCTCAGGCAGTGTGCCCATCCCATCTCAGGGTCTGCTGTGCCCAAACCAGGTGCCACTAACCTCCTTTTCTCCACACTTGTGGATGCAGAGTGCTTCAAAGAAAGCATTCTCTCTACAAGAACCGGAAAGAGCAGAGATGAGAGTATCCCTGCTAAGTTACATCCCCCTCCCCCCACTGCGTGGCGGCCCACAGTGGCAGGTGGCAGGCTCGGTATCATTCAGCGGTCCTGGCAGCCCATAGCCAACAACCCGTGACTGCTCCCTACACTTGCCCGTCCCTGCCCCCAAGCCAGGCCTTTCTTGTGTCTGCAACACTGGCCATGCATATGCCAGGCCCTTTCATTAATGTCATCTCTTTATTCAATCACAATCCCAAATTTTTTTTTTTAATCTGAAAGAAACTCCCTCCAGCCTTTTCAGTTTACTTAGGGAACGCTTTTTGCTCTCTTGGCTCAGGCCCAAACCATGGGGAGGCTGCTCTTTGCACATCCACAAGCTGCTGGTGACCTTTTGTTAGACTGTGGATATGTGGGGGCTCCTGGCAGCTCCTGGACCACTGAGTGGTGTGCTTTGTCATAGTGTCTCACTGTGCACCGTGGGTTAATGGAGCATAGCTGTCCCAGCTGGACTCCGTGGTGGCTAAATAATTATGATTGTTGTTGCTAGGGCCACAACTAAATTCAACTAGCTATAGAAACAGAACAAATGCAGTCTCATTTGAGTCTCAGTTGGGTCAGCGTCTGCTGCTTTTCTTTGAGCAGTATGATCTGGTTAGACTTGTCCCCAGCAGATATGGTCCTTGTGGTCTGCGCTTGCCTAGCCAGGGGACATGGTAAGGCAGAAATGGCCAGCTAGGGACAAGCTGACTCTGAGGAGGTCTGGACTGAGGATTACAGGGAAACTCCCACCACTAGCAAGAATGTTGTTCTTGACAAGACTTGACTAATGAAGACCCTCTTCATGGCCCTACTCCAAAGCGCATCTCCATGGCCTGCTCCTGCTCTTCTCTGAGACACTGGGAATGATGAAACGCGCACAGGGAGGAATCCCAGAGCTCTAGACAGAAGCACTTGCAGATAAGAATCACTCCCTTGGCACTCATTTGCCTGGTGCCTTTCTGCAGGTCAGGCCCTCAAAGCCTCATTTCCTTGCCCACCACCCAGGGATACAGAAAGTGACTGCAGAGCATCTTGGAGGATTAGCCAAGAATGCTAACTGTGCCTGGAGTCAGGATACTGCTGATATCACAGCATCATCATCTAAAGCCTCCTGAGCTGCAGGGACCTGGTTCCCATCCCTTCCTCTTCTGACCTTCCTCAGTCACTTCCATCTGCCTCTGCCCAAAAAGCACACGAACTTGGTTGCTTAGTCCGAGTCTCCTTTCATCTTTTGACTAGGTATTTACCTCAGAATACACAAATGATGTAATTGTCTTCCTTGCATTTCTCCACCCATGACCGCCCACTATTAGTTTATTCCTCATGTATCCTTCTACAGATTACTGGTTCACAGGCTTACATACATGTGTAATCTTCCTCCTGATCACTATAGGCAGGGATTTGAGACATTCCTATGCATCGAGATAGAACCATCCAGAAGTCAGAACTGGGGGGGGGGGGGTTTTACAGTGATGTTCCTGTTAAATCAGGCCCATTTTTACTTAATTACAATATAGTGGAATTCTAGTTTCCTGTACAAAACAGAAACCGCAGTCCTTCACTTGCTCCAAATGTCCCACTAACCCAAGAGCATCATGTGTCTTATGCTTTGCACACCAGCCCTGAGCAGCCTCTGCAGGTATCCTAGTGAGCTGCCACCTCTCCCCCTTGCCAGCTGCTCCAGGACCAGGAGTATCCCACAGAGATGTCTAGCTACAACTGTCAGTCTCCACGAGGAGTGCCAGTATTTCTGAGGCAGGGGTCTGAACACCAGATGTCCCATGATATTCTCCCCTGCCAACCACGGCTTCATTTAGAAAGCTCACCTGTAGGTTCTCCTACTCGTTAAGTGTACTCAGAAGCAAATGCTTCCTAGAGAAAACTCTTCCCCCTTGCTCAGCTAAACTTTCCATTTGACAACAGAACCTATACCACTAGTGGCTTTTTTACAGTTCATGTTTGCCTTTGAAGGAGACATGGTAAAACAGCTTTCTCCAGGCAGCCTTCAGGGAAAAGGCACACACAGGTTATCTCACTCCCCAACAGCCACCCAGAGCAGCACCCAATGGCTACCAGTGCAGCAGAGCCCACCCCACCTGAAATTCTAGAAGCAATTCTGTGCAAGGCCCAAATCAGGGCACTTGTGGAATCTTTGGCCCAAATGAGGTTAGTATCCTTCCTGAGAGCTGATGGGAATTTCCTAGGACATACACGTCTAAATTGTGGAATTTGCAGGGGATACCTGGAAAAATACCAGGTCTTAGCTCTTTAGTGGAAATGGCAGGAGAAAACTAGAGACTTGTTCAGTAAATGTTTTTCTGTTTTAGAACCCAAACTGTTGTATGATATGACCTTTTTATTCCATCTTTAGACCAAGCATTAGCACTCTGGGTTTACCCACCCAGACCTCAGGCCTGTGGCCAAGGCATGGGTCAGGGAATACCCTTGCAGCTTCACAGGCATGGTGACCCAGACCACAGGCACACCAGTGCTGGGGGCTAGATTGTGCTCTGGTGGTCTCTTCTCAGCTCCTTGGGCCTGGGCAGCCTGGAGAGTCTGTATCTGGGCCTGCTATGCACTGCTCCCTCCGTCCATGTCCCTCCCTTGGCCCTGTTGATGCAAGCACAGGCAGGGTGGCAGTATTAAGTCCCTCCTGGTGACAGCCTGTCTTCCAAGAGTACCCTGGTAACTTGTCTCTCGACAGGTCGTAGCTAGGAAGGGGGCACTTTAGTATGCAGTTTAGCCCTCTGGGCGTTATTCACTAGATATTATAACTCTTTCAAAAAAAAGTTTATGAAATACTGAGCTTCAGATTTCATAAACGTATTTGTAAACTAAGAATTCTGCAGCAGAATATTTTTAAACATTCGCAGTTTTTTTGTAAGCTATATTTTTGTATATTTAATTGCTATTTTAAAATTTTACTGTTTTTGCTAATCACTTGTTTAAAAACAAAACATGCATGTAAATTGAGTCAACACATGTAAATAAAAAGCTGATTTTGAAGATATTCCGTATCAAGCGTGTACCTTTCAACTGTATGGTCACCTACACTTCCCTTAAGCAAGGCTGGCAAGACTTGGAAATCAAGATGGGGCTTTGATCAGTGGAGATGGTCACAGGCACCTTGTGTGGGAGGCCCCTCTGACCTGGCCTTTTTGTTCTGCATGCGACACTGGTAGGGGACAGGAAGCAGCGGCAAGAGTTCTACGCCTTTTGAGGGGGCCAGTGAGGCCTCCAAAGCAGACAATTTGCATTTCACCATTCCAGCCATGCTGGCTCAGCTCTGAAGGCACGCATGCACACAGACAAGCAGCGCCCTGGCCATGAGTGCCAGCACTCAAGGCCCCTTCTAGTGGAAGAGCCAAGCTTCCTCCCTCAGAACTTGCCTTCCCCTCAGCCCTTGTGCAGCCTTGAAACCCTTCCCCCAGGCACCAAAGCTGGGCTTATTTTCCTCAACCCTGTTCTTTTGCTCCCATTGCTTCACATTATTCTCATGCTTCTGGAGCTCTCTAAATCCTATCTGTATGGATATCCTCAGCACTGTCTCCCCCACTCAACATCCTGATGTCCATCTAGTATCTCAAAATGGAGCAGCCCAAACCCAAGCCTCCGCGCCCTCCAGCCCCCCACCCCACCCAGCCAGCACTGCCCATTCCCAGGTGTGCCCGGCGGTGGACTTCAGTTTCTTCCTGTTACACCATAAAAATAGGGTGGACTGAAGGGTCCACAAAGTGCTGACCACAACCTTCAGTAAACTCAGGAGAGGCAGAGGGCAGGACAGTCACAGTACAGGGGCTTGGAGGTCTCATGGGATGCCAGATGTTCCGAGCAGGCCTCAGGCACTGGGAATAAGGAACAGTACCCCACCTCACTGCCACCCCATGGGCTTAACTGGGTGGCTGTGAGAGGAAGGTGGGGCCACCAAACAAACCTGGGAGATGCAGGATCGGAGCCTCTGAGCCAAAGAGCAACAGGAACGGGGAAGTAACTTCCGTCTCTGCAGTGGGCCTCTTCCTTGCACCATGAAGGCCCCAGGCCGAAGGCACCCACCCACACCCAGTGAGCCAGGCCCTGCAGGAAGGCCTGAGACATTAGTCCCACCCCGTTCTGTCCCCAGGCTGGTGGTTGTCCTCTGCTGCCCCCATGCGGCCAGCACCCACGCTCAGGCAGGCCCATCCCTCCCTGCCAAGGCCGAAGAACAGAAATAGCTCTGCCACCTAGTAAAGCCTTAGTGTCTTCGGGCTGCAAAACTGCAGGCCTTTTCCCTCCCTCCCAAAGCAATACTGGCATCAAATCACTTAATACAAAGATTGAAGAGCTGCACCGTCTCCAAGCAGGCTTTTTATTCTGCACAGCAGAAAACAGGTCCAGCCCTTCCCATGACTCATCTCAAAGCCCATCAGGCATCTGAGACTTGTTCCCACAAAGCCTTAGGACCCCCCCCCTCCCTCTCCCCCACGCTACTGGCCTGAAAGTACTCTCCTCTGTCGCTCGATCTCTCTCTCTCTCACACTCTCACACACACACACACACACACACACACACACACACACACACACGCATGCATGGCAATTCTAGCAGCCCTCTGATCTGATGTCCTGTGCTTTTTCTACTAGCTTACAACTTTGAAGTCACTAACCCCATTCATCACCCAAGGGAATTGTGCCAGAAGTCGTATCTTTCCACCCAGAAGTCCTTATCATTTTTAGTGTAAAGTAACATGAAATGTCCTCCCAAAAACTATTTGTCAAGTTTTGGGTACAGAATTATTAACCTGCCCCAGCCACGTGAAATGGTGCATGCCTGTCATCCCAGCATTCGGGATGATGAGGCAGGAGGATCACTGTGAGTTCACGGCCAGTCTGGGATATATAGTGAGAAACTATCATAAGAAGAAACATTAGCCTGCCCAGGTAAGTTCACAGAACCTTGAAATAAACCCTTCTTCAAGTATGTTCACACAAATGCTCCATGCAAACCAATAATGCAAGGATGATCTCCAAGGCCATAATACACCACAGCTTACTTGCATTCAGCCACTCAGACAAACACAGGAGTACAAGACAGCTCTCCTGGGGCGTCCGCGGAGAGCAATGCTGGGATTTCAGATCACACAAGCTTAACTGGAGTATACTGAAGAGCAGCCTGAATACAGTAAATCCTGACACTGCCTGGACATAGTCCACTTTGTTTTTAATGTATTTTTGCTTACTGGTTGCTAGACTGAATTTTTATCTTGATGACTTAGAAAAATACACTTATTTTTCTCACTTTGATTCAGGTAGTAAGTAATCATAAAACAGAATAAGTCTCTTAAAAAAAAAAAAGTCCACAAATCCCATCGTGGAAGGATCCAGGAAGCCCTCCCAGGGAACAATCAGGGAGTCTTCAACAGCTCAAGGAGTGCTCCAACAGCTCCAAAATAACCCTGAAAAAAATACATCAAATGTAAGAGCAATTTTCCTCAGCCTTACTTCAACTACCACAAGTATAGTTACCAGTTAAAGTCAACAATGCCCTTAACTCCTGACCCATGCCTGTGCCCCAGCAGAAAGCCTGAGGCCAGCAGGGCGCCAGGAAGCCAGGCTGCTGTGGAAACAGCAGAGCCAGACCCACGGTGGGTGCCACAGCGGTTTGTTGCTCAGTGCTTCTGGTAAGACAGGGCCCCAGCTGTCAGGGGTCTGTGTGTGGTGAGACTGTACCAAGCGTTACAGGGTGAAGGTCTGACTGAGCTGGGGGTGAAAGGCAGGCCGGGAAACTGGTGGAATATGCTCAAGAGTCATCTAAAGGAGGAGGAAGGCAGAAGGGAGGGACAGGGATGCCACTGCTGAGCATGGGGCCACAAGAGCACAAGATGTGGACAACAACACAGGTAGATTCTCTGTAGGGCAGGAGCAGCTACGCCCAAAGCTGAGCAATCAGGAGCAGCCAGCAGTGTCCTGAGGTGACAGGAAGAGGACAGAAGCTCCTGAAGGGCGGCAAGAAGCAGAGACAGAGAAGTACCAGGTGCAAGAGGACAAGTACTACATCATGTCCAGAGGTAACTGGGTCAAGTGCAACTGAGAACACAGAAATCCAACCAAAAAGAGAGGAGTGAAATATTAAAGGAAGTAAGACAAAACCTGCACTGACAGCGAACACCCAAGGGAGCCAGGGAAGTCGTTCCGTGTTACCAGATCCAGCAAGGCCTCCAGAGCACAAGACAGAGTATTAAAATACTGTAGTAGTAACTGAAGGGAGATGTGAGAAAGAGCCTCAAAGTCTTGCTTGTGAATTTCAAAGAATAGATGACAAGCTGCAGGGTGAATAGAGCCAAGAGCCTCAACCATGTTCAGGTTCCCTGTCACAGCCAGAGACCAGGGTAATCATTTGACAACAGCTATAGATGTAGTTTTACAGCTTCCTGTGTTTGTACTTCATTTTACATTAAAAAAAAAAAAAGAGACAGGGTTAACCATTACACTGAGGTCTCCTAAAGACCCAGAACCCCTCACCAAGCATGTGCTAGGATAAGAATGGGAAAGGACCAAGGAGGCCTTTAACAATCATTAAACCAGATATCAGCCTGGGGAGGGCAGGAGACTATTTCAAGACTCGGAAAGGCTAAATAAAATAAGTGCCACAAGAGCAGAGAGCCACATTAGTCACAGGCCCGACTGCACATGGAGAACCAGGGACACACATGGTCCGACAACACGAAGCAGAGAAAACAATGCAATCAGCAGAGAGAATGAGGAAATATAAAAACAGCTACGTGTAGTGGTGCACGCCTACAAGACCCTGTCTCAAAAATAGTAAAAATTTCATAAAGGTTTATTTAAAATTATAGGTTGCATATCCCTTACCCAAAATGCTTGGCATTAAATTTTGATTTTGGAGTTTTTCCATTTTGGAATATTTGCATAAAAGTTATCAGTCTGGAGTATCCCTGATCAAAAAATCTGGTATTGGAACCCTAATCTAAAAATCTGAACCTGGGCCGGGAATACAGCTCTGCACACAGCACCTGAGCCTGGCAAACACAAGGTCCTTGGTTTAATTTCCATACCAAAAAAAAAAGGGTTAAAAATCTAAATCTAAAACTCTGATGTAGGAAATGTAAGTTGGCAAAGTTTCAGACTTTGGAGCATTTCAGACTCTCAGATTAAAGATGTTCACCCTATATTATATGAAGATACAAGTATGAAAAAGAAAAGACCAAAGACAGTAATCTCCACATTTACCTAGGAAATGGTTCAACAATAGAGATTACACAGAAGGAAAGTTATATTAAGATATAACATTAAGTAGGATGTCTTTTTATTCTCTCAGAGATCACAAAAGACAAATACAGAAAGATAAAAAACTATAATAATCTTAATGGCAATTCAGTTATTTACTAATGTAACAGCATTAGAAATAAAAAGACATGACTTAACCTTAAAGCTTTTAGTAATAGGGAATTTGTGTACTTTGAATTTTAACTATGAACTTAAAACAATTTAAAAAGAAAAACTTTGCTAACTTTAAAGGAAAAAGTAATTTTTATTGATCAAATCCTACTTAAAAGCACAGGACACATGAATTATATCAATACAAAAAACTGGCATCAAAAAAGATGAAGAAAACAAGCAGGACCAGAGGAGCTGTATTTACAGAGTCAATGCAATGAAAAAATATAAAGGATTGTCCAGAAAAGAAGAGAACATCAAAGGGGCTGGGAATTTAGCTCAGTGGCATAAGCACCTGCCTTGCAAGCAGGCAGTCATGAGTTCAATCCCTGGTACCGATTAAAAAAGAGAGAGCAAACATCAAAACTCCATGAAAAGGTTCAAATTTTCCTTTGGGGCCTGCAGATACAGCCTAGTGGTGGAACACTCGCCTAGCATGTGCAAGGTCTGGGGACATTCGTTTGCTTGTAGCAAGTATTTACATTTATTAAAGGTGCAAAAGACATGTTGTGCCACATTTCAAACATCAGTACAATCACACAAATAAAATTCTTTAAAACTGATTACAATTAAAATAGTGTTTCACCTCAAGATATCCTAACATAAAAGTAGTTACCATAGTGTCTCTTTCCTTGAAATCTTTGAGTATAACTTCGTATACTATAGCACCAAACATATCAAGACAATGTAAAACCATTCAAGAGAATGACAGTATTATAGGGTATTTAGAACCGCCTATCAGAAAATGAACAATGTTTTCTGTATAATCTCCTTGTCTATAAAAGTTTTTGCTTATATTATCACATATAATAAAATCCAGTAAGATACAACCTGTTAAGACCGATGGAGACAGACAATATTTTGCTTAAATGGTTATGCTTTGACTTGCGCTGTTTTGTTGTTATACACTCTTTTATCTCAGTCTCCTTTTAATTACTTACTTTTTTATTTTTATCTTTTTAATTAAGGGAAAAATAAAAAACTTAGCAGGATACATTATAATAACCCACTTTCATTTCCTATTAACTTGATTTGAAACCCTGTATAGCCCTCAACATCTTGTTTTGACTGATTTTCCTGTATTCTGCTTTGCTTGATAGTACCAAGTTCGAAAGTATAGACAAAACTGTAAAGACAGTAAGATTCATTATGACGCCCATTCCGGTTGACTATTATCTTCTTTTAAAGTCGTGTAATGTCTCCAATGTTTTGGTTTTATTCTTTATTGTTTTGTTCAATTTTATCATAACTGATGATACAGGCAATTCTTTTTAAGATAGCAAGAGGCAGTATGGTAACCATTGTTGATCACCTAGTATTTTGTTTTTACATTATCTATTATGTCCATCCTTTTGATTTGACCGACTCTGTTCTGTCATGTCACATTTGGTTTACTCTCTTCAAAAAAACAGTAGTAAGAACTGTGGGAGTAATAAAACCCAAAATGTGTAATTGTCATTGTGGAAAAGAAAGTGCTCTAAAGAATATAACTACATATATATTTAAGTGTATACGATAGATAACCATATTACTGAGTTTTGTTGGATCATTGAACAAAACTGTTTGCAGTCTCACTGTTTGAAAGTCCACCTTATATGCTTTAATTTTGTAACTTGAACAACTATTTCTAAGATAATATGTAATCTATTAACTAGTGATTTCCTACTGTTTACTTTTTCTGAAATTCTGTATAACTTATACTCTTTTTCTGTTATTTTTTTCTTTTTCTCCTTAAATAAAAAAAAAACTGATTACAATTAAATTAGCCAGGAATCTACTTTGCATTTTATGAATAGCTACTAAACTGAAAATCAAAATGAAACCCCACCTTGTTCAATTTTTTTTTAAAAAAGGCCAATACTCAGCCCAGCTCAGTTCTCAAGTTCTGCTACAGGTTGAACCCTATATGTATGTTGACATGTCACCAGAAACAAGTTCGCTTACCTCGTGTTCCGAAAACAATGCTTTCAACTGCCCCTTGGACCAATAATCCAAAGCATATGCCAAGAGCCGCATGGCGATGGTATTAATTCTCAAGAAATTTCCAACAAATACCACCTGATTAATGTTCTGAACACATCAAAAAAAAAAGGCAATTAGTTTATATATGTTTTCTTAATTAAAAAAAAAAAAAAATACCCTCCCAACAGCACTATGTACACCTTTTGACAGCAACTTGAGTGATGGTCACATTTAGTCCAGTCAGTCAGTGCTACTGAAATTTGATCCCCAGACATCTCTGGACCTGCTACAAACCATGCCCAAATGTCAAAGAAGAAAATGGATTAGAGAAAAATAGCTATTAAATATGAAAAACAGTAAATACTAATTGAAAATTTTATACAGTAAGTTTTTTTAACTTACCCAATTCAAAAAGGAAACTGACACAAATGGGCAAATTATTAAAAATGTGTAATAGGTAGAAAAAAATCTGACTTTAGCATGATTAAAAAGACAGAATTTTAAGCCTATTAAGTTAGCAATAACATCAAAAAACATCCTGAAACTCTACCCACATGATTGGTACAGTTGTGGTAGAGTTGACCCATCAGTTCACTGCTAAGGATGACCTAGATGGACTCTGCCCAGTGTAGCGCACCCTGATGAGGTGTACCAAGATCCTAAGCATGGCCATACTGTAAGATCCCAAATCTCACTGCTGGGCACCTTCTCAAGAGGAAAGCTGAGACAAAGAAAAACTTCCCACTTAGCTTACTGCAGTTACCATTATAACCAAATGCCCAGCTGTATATAAATAATTTATACTATTAAAGAACCCGATCAGTGAAGTTATAAATCTATGCTAATAAAAACCTGGTCAAATATGTAACCTATGAAATATATATTTAAGTAAAAAACAAATGGTATGTACACCAACTAATACATCCTAAAACACATAATCAATAGGAAAAGGAACACACAATAAACAGAAAGATTCAAACAAATGTTTTAATTATCTTTTTAATTAAAAACGAGACAAATCCTTTTGTGCTTCTGAGGTTTCCTTTTAAAATTCATGCCCATATTATCTGTTTAAATAACTATGGACAAGCCGTAAGTCTGCACCAACTGGGCCCTAGCTCCTCTTTCCCCAAGGGCAGCCCATTCTTGGTTCTTTCATAGCCCTGTACAATGCTGCTTGACCTGAATGCTACAAGGCAGCACTGTAAAGAAGCTGAAAGCACAAAGACAAATAGCTCTGCTGAGGCGGAGGGAGCTGGGGCAGGCATTCATCACCCAATCAGTCTTCTCCCAGCTTCGGTGACTTCCACTGGATTCCTTCCCAGGCCTCCAGAGCTCCCACCATGAGCCAGGAGATGAGACACAGCATCATCACTCCCACAGTCTCCACCATCTGAACCTAGCCACCTTCCTAGCTTCCTCTACTCTCCCCTCAGGACAGCTCACTTTACCTGGGAACAAGAGCCATGCTTATCTTCAGTAAATCAATGAAGATTAACCTGCATGTGAAGAGTTCTAACTTCACACTAAAAGTCTACCTGACACAACTACATGTAGCCACTGTTCTGAAGCAAGCAGATGATGTCAAGGTGGACTCCACTTAGTTCAGCATCTCCCTGACAGCAACAAAAGAAACCCATGTCCCCTTACTTCATTAAGAGCACACATTCTTGCTATGGAACCAATGTTGTTGGTGATGGTGATCAAAGTCGCTCTAGCAAGGTCCTCCTTACTGACAGCCTCTCGCTTCTCCTTGCTCATCATGTTTCCAAAGCTGTGATGAAGAAAAAAAAAAAGAACATCCCATTGTTAAACCAGTCAATTGATCCCAACTGAACTTCAATGTTACTTTACTGAGATAAAATTGGCTTTTAAAGCAACAATGTTCAAACTTTCCAACTTTTTGTTACACAATGATGCAGCATCTGTTCAGCGGGAGCAGCTTCAAAGGAGCCTACAAACTCTCTAAGTGAGCAGGTGGCTCTCCATGTGTCTTCTACTGACATCAGCAGACATCGCAGTCCCAGAATCCCACACAGTTCCAAGAGTTCCACAGTCCCCTAGAATCTCAGCTTTGCTGCCCCTTCTGCCACCAGACAGTTTCAAAAAGACAGCTCTGTCAGCAATCATACCACAGCACACAGCCATTCTCAAGTTGGTCACATTCATTCACATCTGGTAAACTGGTTTATCACTCAGCACACACACACCTGAGTCCTAGAACAACTGCTACAGTTTCAGATTTCAGGGCTGAGTGTAGCATGCACAAGACCCTGCATTCAATTTTCAGCACCACAAAAAGAAGAGTGGGGAAAAAGGGTTTCAGATTTCTCTAGAAGATAAAGTAGTTAAAATGCACTGATCAACAGAACTGATATCAGAACATAAACCCAGCCAGTCAGGAAAAAGCGATAACCAGTAAATGCTGCAAACAAAAAATTACAGTATTTAGCAAAGCCCTAAAATTAGTAACAAGGGCCAGGGATTTAGCTCAGCGGCCTAAGCAACCTGCCTGGCAAGCATGAGGTTGACAGTTCAATCCCCAGTACCAAAAAATTTTTAAAAATAAATAAATAAAATAAAATTAGTAACAAGCATGTATGTACCTCTTTTCTGGTAAAAGAAACATGTGCTCCAATATACATAAAACTGTAATTCAAAAAAAAAAAACCCTCAAAATACAGAAAATCCCATTATAATAGCAGGAAAGAGAGTAAAATGTTTAGTACTATAACAGAAATATACTAAAATCTATGAAACACTGTTGAAAGAAAGCAAAACCCTAAATAAAGGGAAACATATTCCATCTTCTTAGACCAGCAAACCTGGAGGAGTTGAGGTGGCACTACTTTCTAAAACTGGCCAGCAGATTCAGACCCTATCAAAATCCTAGCGGTATTCTTTGCAGACTCTGCCAAGCTAGTCCTAATATTCTTAAGTAATTTTAAGAAGCCCAAAAGCCAAAATAACCTTTAACAAGAACAGCCTGGAAGACTCACAGGTTTCAAAGCTTAATATATGAGCCGGGTATGGTGGCGCATGTCTGTAATCCCAGCACTTGGGAGAGGCTGAGGCAAGAGGATCACTCCAAGTTCGAGGCCAGCCTGGGCTATGAAGTGAGCTCAAGGCCAACCTGAACTGCACAATGAAACTCTGTTTCAAAAAGACAAAAAACAAAAACAAAAAAACCCACAATATAAAGCTCATCAAGGAAATATGGTACTGACATAAGGACACATATACAGGTCAGTGGACCAGAACTGAAAGGCCAGAAATAAACATACTCATCGACAGCTGATTGATTTTTGACAAAGCAGCCAAAAAAATCAACAGGAGGGAAGTCATCTTTTCAACAAATGGTGCTGACACAACAGGATCACATGCTCATGAAGGAATCTGGAGTGGTACTTCTCATCACACACACAATTAATTTGAGGGAGTCAAGTGATATAGAATACTGCCTAGCATGGGCAAGACCCTAGACTCAATTCCCAGCACTGTAAATAAAGTTTTTCTTAAAAACTCAAAATGACAAGTGCAAGGTCGTGAGTTCAGTCCCCAGTACCAAAAACAAAAATAAAAACTCAAAGTGAACCATTGACCTAAATGTAAAGAGCTGAAATGATGAACTCCCAGAAGAAAAGAATAGCCTTAGGGTAGGCAATGATTTCTTATATATGACACTAAATGTGCAGGAAATGAAATAAAAGACTTCATCAAAATCAAAAACTTCTATGCTACAAGTAACACCACCAAGAAAATGAAAATGAACGGCACTTCATGCCTATTAGCTAAACTAAAAGAGAAACATGCTAGCAAAGACATTAAAAATTTTTAATTTTCATAAACTGACAGGACCGTAAAATGGTACAGCCAAATGGTCCAGCAACTCCACTCCTAGATACATTAAAAAAATAATATAAAAAATATATTTCTACACAGAGACAAGCACACAAATGCATTATGCAGAAACGCCTAAAAGCAGAAACAACTAAAATGTTTAATAACTGATAAAGGGATACAATGTGGCCTATCTATACCATGGAATGTTACTCAGCAGTAGAAAGAATAAACTGCCTCTTGCTAGACCATAGATAAACCTTGAAAACATTATGCTAAATGAAAGAAGCTGATCATAATCACAAACTATCCAACCATTTATATGAAATAGAACAGGTGATTCTGGAAACAGGAAGTTTATTGCCCCTGGGGAGGGTTGGGGGTGAGAACTGGAGAATAATGGATATAAAGAGAATGCTCTAAAATTGGATTATAGGGGCTGGGGATTTAGCTCAGCGGCATAAGCGCCTGCCTTGCAAGCAGGCAGTCGTGAGTTCTATCCCTGGTACCGATAAAAATGAAAAAGACAAAAAAAAAAAAAATTGGATTATAGTTGCAAAGTTCTGCAAATACACTAGAATCACTAAATTTTACACTTTAAATAAGTGACTTTGTGGTACACACACTAATTCCAAAAGTTGCTGAAAAGAAAGCACACTCCCTTACCTCGAAGCCACAGCCCAGCCTGGCAATCCAAACCTCTCATAGTCTCCTCCATAAATGTCTCGCACTAGTTTATCCACTTTGGTACTATCTCCATGAGATGCCATTTCAAGAGCTTCTTCAAAAGTGGTACAGCCAGTTAGAAGACAACAGAGACCAAAAAAAGTTCCTCCTCCAAGACTGTGATTACAAACAAGCAATACAGTGCAGTAAGGCAGTAAGGCAGTAAGATTTATGAACCCCAAGTTACATTCATGTATCAATCCACTCTTGTCCCAAGAGGGTCATGCAGGTGCCACTAGCAAGAAATAAGTCTGCAAAAAGATAGCCACAAGTACCTCCCATATGCCCTGAATGTACCTATCTCGGAGCCAATAAGCAAAACAGAAAAGTTTGGGGCTGCTGTTGTCAGTGTGCCGGGGTGCAGCTAGGTGCTGTCCACCCGATACAGGCCTCTCAGGTCAGAACAGCCCTGAGGGAGTCCTGCTGCACCTTCCCTTTTCCCCTCTTCAAGTATGTCCCTAAGGTCATTCTCAATCAAGCCCCTGTTGCTGTGGCTCACCACCCCCACCCAAGACACTTGTATCTGCTGCCCCCCAAAATAATTATTTCCATTCTTTAGCTCACAAATGTTAACACCCTGTTTATCGCAAATCCCTATTTTTAAGTGACTTCTAATTCTTAAACCAAAATATATTCATTCCCTCTTCCATTTACTCTTCCCCTTGCAGATTACCCTCCCCATCACTCTTCTATTGATCAGTACCCTCAACTTCTACATCTCATACCATCCCCTGGCTATGTGTCCACTCATTCATGTGTAAATGTATAAAATGAGATCTTCCCTTGCCTTCTCTTTTAAGACACTGTCTAGTACCAACTGGGTGTATGATTAATTTCCACTCAGAAGGCCTGAGGCAGTCCCGAGTTATCGAGTTCAAGGCCAGCCTAGTATCTTTACTACTTTATACAAGCATACCACAAATAATCTGAGAGCAATGACTATGGCTCATGAGTCTGTTAATGTATTTTATCAAATAACTATCGTAAATAAACTTAACAGCAGAAATTAAGGTGAGTGATGAAATCAGAATTTTGAAGAGTTTTGCATAATTCTAAAAAAAGTAAATCTATCATGCAACCTTTTTTTGAGGGGAGGAGATACTGAGAATTGAACTCAGGACCTCACACTTACCAGGCAAGCACTGCACCACCAAGCTAAATCCCCGTCCCCCTTCCATGCAACCTTAAAAAGCTCTTGAGAGTATAGTTATGTATAACTGCTTAGGATATTAAGAAGAAACAGTGACTTACATAAAAGACTTACCTAGGGGGCTGGGGATTTAGCTCAGTGGCATAAGTGCCTGCCTTGCAATCAGGCAGTCGTGAGTTCAATCCCTGGTACTGATAAAAGAGCAAAAAGACAAAAAAAAAAAAAAAAAAAGACTTACCTAGTACCTGTGACCCTCTTGTAATTATCTTTGGAATACACTGCTAAAATGCTAACTCCTGAGCCAATGTTCACTAGAAGCAGAGGGTATGGATTTTTCAATTTGAATGGCAACTTCTGACATTTTTCAGAATCAGCAGGGTTTTCAAAGTAGTAGCACTGTGATCGTCCATTGAATCCAACTGAGTCAATGTATAAAATCCCTTTTATTAAGCAATCTAGTTCGTCCAGTTTGCAAAGCTGAAGATCACCTATCTGTAAGGAAATAAGAATGTATTCAGGCTTTAAAACCCAACAGAAATTTTTAAATTCATTTTTTAAAAATCATACATTAAACAAACCATAAAGCACAACATGTCTACTGTATGCTTTTACAGAACAGGTTTGAGGACAACCTACATGAGACAGACTGTTAAAACAGATTCCTACTCCCACAGACCCAGATAGACACTACATAAAAACCACTATGGCACTCAGAAATGAATGCCAAGAATGACAAGTGAGGACTTTCAGACTTGCCAACTAGAAAAAAAACATCTCTGGTCACAGGAACACTAGCAGGTGCACAGCTCAAGCCATGGCTTTATCAGAAAGCACCTGATGACACATGCATGGCAGGAGGCAGAAAGACTGTGACATCAGCTTTCCAAGAGACTACCTTCAAGGTGATGAGGTGGTAACAAAAGTAGCCTCACCTTGCTACTTAACATCTGAAGCCAAAGAGCTGCAAGTGTTCAATTGGCAGGGAAGATTATCTCGTTCCCCACACTAGTGACAGTTTCTTGAGAAGGCAAAAGTTAGTAGTATAAAAATGTAAACCATTCTAATCAACTGAATTCTCTTAAAATAATAAAGAAATGGTTAAGATTATTAGTCATGATACAGAGTACAATTGAATGAAGCAGATCTATATGAACTAAAGTGGAATCAAGCCACATACTTAGTCAAAACTAGCAAGCTAAAAAAAAAACTAGCAAGCTGAGAACCGTTTTATAAAACATGACCCTGCCAGGGGTTTAGCTCAGCAACACAAGCATCTGCCTGTAAGTGGGAGGTCATGAGTTCGATCCTCAGTACCAAAAAAAAAAAAAAAAAAAAAAAGACCCCTATTCATTCATTCATTCATTCTGGTAGTAGTACTAGGAATTAAGCCCAGCATTTTTCTACCCAGCTACAGATTCCTAAGTAATCCTTTTTGTTTCTAAGTTTTTGAGATGGGGGTCTTACCAAGTCATTAAATGGCCCACACTGGGCTCAAACTTGTGAACTGTCTTCCTGAACGGCCTTCTAGAATGCTGGGATTACACGTATGTGCTACCATACCCAATTTAATGTCTTTTTTTTTTTTTTTTTAAACATTCACTATGTAGTCTAGGCTGGCCTTGAACTCAGCTATACTCCCGCCTCAACCACTAGAGTACTAATTACAGGTGTGCACCACCACACCTGGCTCAATTTCCCTATTTTTAGAACCATATTTATATCCACATATGTCATACATAGTTATTCATAGAAAAACTTAAGATATGTAATTTTTCACAGCAGTAACTTTGGAGAAATGATACAATTCTGCCTCTATGAACTTCCAACCTGTTGGGATGGCTACAAGGACATATATTCAGTGTGCCTGACAAAGTCAACCAGGCCTCAACCCCTGAAGCATCTGATTCTGTTTACAATCAAGTGTAGTTAGCCCTGAAAATTCTCTCTAATTCCGATTCTCATTTGGTCACTTTTACATTCAACTTATTCCCATCTACTGTGCAAGAAAAGATAATAGGCTCGGACTGGGGATTTAGCTCAGCGGCATAAGCACCTGCCTTGCAAGAAGGCAGTCGTGAGTTCGATCCCTGGTACCGATAAAAAGGAAAAAGACAAAAAAAAGATAATAGGTAACTTCAAATGAATCCTTAATTTAATTAGTCCCTAATACTGTTATTCCTTTTACCAAACCCAAGTCCTATGGGTTCCTCTGCTACTCCAAATCAAGATAAATTTCATGCTGCCTTCCTGACACTTGCATCTCCAAATGCCAGAATTTTCTTTTCTAAGCCTAATCACTTGACTATGGTGGTGTACTCAAATCCCAGTAGTTTTCTGATAGTATCAAATCAATTTCTCCTTTTATCCTCCCCATAATTCATATCTTCTAAAATGTCCTGCTGTACTATCACTCTTCCTGAATCTCAGCCTCACACATTTAATGACTGAGTCCACAGGTAACTTTACTCACCCAAAATTACTCAGAATATAAGTCAGCACCAAAAGCAAGCTCAAAATAAAGAAAATCTGATTCATATTAAGAAACTCCAAACTTTGAAAATGTTTCACTAGAGGCCAGGAATTTAGCTCAGCAGATCAAATGTTCCCGTGGTAAGCATGAGGTCGTGAGCTCAATCCCCAGTACCAAAACCAAAAAAAAAAGACCAAAACACCACTTCCCTTGAGAATGTTTCACTGTTGTTTATTAAATATTAAGTCAGTCCTAGTGCACAAGGTTTTGTTTTGTGGTTCTTGAGCTAGAACCCTAGGACTTTCACACAGAGCTACATCCCCTGTCCTCCCCTGCCACAACCCTTTTTTTTTAAATTTCACAACAAAGTCTCACTACCCCGACCCACTCAGTTGTGCAGCCTGGGTTCTAACTTGGAAACCTCCTGCTTCAGTCCCCACGGAGTGCTGGCACTGGAATTGTGTAGCAGCATACTTAACACAAACAAGATTTGACAGGCATTTCATTCCAAACAATTTTTAAGGACAGCACTAAAAAATTACAAAGTGCATATGGAGAAACTCTAATGGCCTAAGAACCAATTCTTAATATACAAAGTCCAGTTCACATCCTCTCTGTGGATTAGCATGCCATGCTAAACCCTCGGCTAATAGATTGAATGGTTTCCAAGTATTCTGCAAAGGGTAATCTACAAATCCTAGAAATAGGGTTATTCTACCTATCAATTACGATCCATGATCCACTAGAAAGCTTGCAGAAAGAACAACAACCCTCTCCTGCCATCTCTCCTGCCTTACAGATGGAAAAGAAACCACCAAAACCCAGTAACTAAGAAAAACCCAGACTCACTATAAAACCTTATTAAATAATTCATGTCAACCATTGCAATTCCATTTCCTTATCCATAAAATGAAGATTTAAATAAAAGCTTATTGTGGCCAGTAGTGGTGATGCCTGTAATCCCAGCACTCAGGAGGCTGAGGCCAAGCTGAACTACATAGTGAGTTCAAGGTCTGCCTAAACTACAGACCCTGTCTTAAAAAATAATAAAAAGAATTTTAAAAACTCATTGCAACGATAAAATGGAACAATACATAGAAAGTACATGACATATTATAATCATCAACTATTACACATTGGCCATTCAGCTTTATTTTTACTAGTACTTGTTCATTCTGCTATGGTAAATTTTGCTCAAGAGAATTTCAAATGGTCACACTTCCAGAATGCAGGCAGGGAGATAAGACAAGATACTAATCAATAATGCTTTAGTACTTCAGAGAGGTGGACATCACTGCTCTGAAAATATAATTTATAATATCCAAAAATACTTGATACCATCTCTAATGATTATACTTAAAAGGAAGTCCATAATAACATGGGTTATTGTATGCACAAGGTTACGAGTTCAATCCTCAGCACATTAAAAAGAAGACAGTCAAAACAAGTACATCACTCTACAGTCTCCAGGACAATGTTCTCAGCATAGGGGCTGCTCTCCAGCAGACTCTCCTACACTGTCCTGGGGAATGCTGCAGGTCTGTCAGCAAACATCAGCTCACAGGTCCACCTTCCAAGGCTGACTGATCATTTTGAGGGAAACAAGAGTTAGATCAAAAATGATGACTTGGCCATTTCACAGCTGGTCAGCTTCACAACTGACCAGCTGCCTAAAGTTAACTAGGTTATTTAACTTCTCTAGGCCTTGAGTTATTTATGATAGACTGTCTTGATCATCGCATACAAGTGTTAAAAGGCTTAAGTGAAACGACTAAAAGGACCTATAGTTTGCTAATGCCACCAGTTATCATAAGAGAGTGTTTATTCCTTTTTTCAGTGCACGATCCATTAGCCAGAAAGAATAAGTCTAAATGATGTTTAGCAGTACATCATGGTCTTAGAAAATGTTATCCTTACAAGGTCTATCACCCACTGTATAAATTTTTGAGACAGGGTCTCACTATGTGGTTCAGGCTGGCCTTGAACTCATGGCAATCTTCCTGCTTCTGCTTCCCCAGTATTGGGGTTATAGGTATGCACTACCTAGGTTATAGGTATGCACTACCATGTCCAACCTACGTGCCCTTTTAATTGCAAAAAAAATCTTTTATTATGAAGTACAAAATGTTATCTTATATAATACATACAAAAGGTACAAAACTGTAAGTAAATCTTAACTAACAATTTAAAAATTCAGGTCAGTTCTATATTGTAATTACTATGGCCACTTACAGGAAAAAATTGTGAGACACACGCAGAGAAAGAAACCGTAAGATACACAGGGAAATGAAATACATATGTAGAATAAAGGCAGAATCTCTTTTGGTCAGTTAGTGGCATTAAAAACATGTCACTGGGGCTAGGGATTTAGCTCAGTGGCATAAGCACCTGCCTGGCAAGTGTGAGGTCGTGAGTTCAATCCCTGGTACCGCAAAAAAAAAAAAAAAAAAAAAAAAAAAACATGTCACTAAAGACATTTTAAGCCTGTAGGCACCCTTGCAGTCAGAGTGCTAGCCAATTCACAGGTTAATTCTTGACCTACCCAACAGCCACTTTCAAATACCTGGTGTCAGGCCTGCCTTAATATTCACAGAATTAAAAACAATATCAAAAATCAGACATGCGTGTGTGAACACTGCATTGTCTCACTACTGAGAGAAGCTGAAACAACACAGGTATATGGATACATATACATATATATGTGTACCAAGCAACGCATAAGCCATGGTGACCCCCTAATTATTATTTTAAAATTTTATTTTCTCTTTAAAATAAAATAGATTTGAATGAATAAATACATAAATACAAAAACAACATCAAGTCCTAGTGGAACCGCCTTCTAAGCCAGATGCAGTCAAGAGCCTGGGTTGACAAGCGTAGCACAAACCCTATCTGAGGACTTCAGAAAGGGGACTCTGCTGTCAGCCCCTCAGATGAGCCCTCTGTCCTGAAAACATCATTTCCTCCAGAGTTCGTCATTTGTGTAACTGGTGAACAGGCCAGGAAACTAGTGGAGGAGGTAGTGGAAAATAAGTGGCAGAAGAAATTTACAAACATTTCATGACATGATTTTTAAATTTTTTCAATCTCTCTGTTCAAAACTTAATGATGTTATTCCTCACAGACAGGCTTTCTATTGTTTATCACAGACTAAATTTTTGTAGAAAAAAAAAAAAATCAACAAAATGCTGTTTTCTGAAGTTTTGGTTCCCCACACAGCTCAACTAGGCAAAAAGCAAACTGCACGACTATCACTAGATAGCTTAACTCCCAACTGTCACTAATTTATAGCCAATCTTCATTTCACTCAAGAAAATCCAACTTCCATTAGAAATCAAAATTACCACTTGCAATTGGCATTATTCTTAACCATCAAATTACCATAAGATGTATATAAGCTAAAAAATGCATACTGTGAGAAAATCCTGCTCAAATTTGTATGCTCCACCTCCAGTGGCACAAAAGACTGTGTGGAGACTCGAGAAGTTTTTATCTCTGCCCATTTGAATAAAAGCAGGCATGTCATGAGTGGGAAAGCGTATAAAGTGCAGATTGCCTTTGCGTCCACACAGAGTCAGGTCCTTCAGCTCGAGGTGCACATCCCGGATGCCTGTGGACCCGTAAGCCACATTGGAGGTCAGGTATTTTCTAATGCTTTTCAGACTCTCCACCTCTTCCTCCTCTTCTTCCGCAGTGATGTCTTTGGGTTCAAAATAAACCAGCTTGACCAAGGTCCCACCAATATCCAAGCCAAACCATGGAAAAACTAAATGAGAGAGAGAGAAAAGTCAAAACAGCTTTTTTCTACTAAGTTTACATTTACTAGATCAGCAACTCATTTCATACTCTATGGTTTCAAAACAGTGTAATTCTAAACAAAAGGATATTTGGAAGAAGAAATTTGATTCTGATTTGGAAAAAACTAGGACAAAGATCCGTAAGAGCCAACTCAACTTTTCTGAACAGACAAGTTCAAACTGTACGATAGGATGGGTTTGGTTTTGTTTTGTTTTGTTTTGTTTTAATAACTACCCGTAAGTTGGGGCTGGGGATTTAGCTCAGCGGCATAAGCGCCTGCCTTGCAAGCAGGCAGTCGTGAGTTCGATCCCTGGTACCGATAAAAAGGGAAAAAGACAAAAAAAAAAAAAAAAAACTATCCGTAAGTCTCAAGCAAAACAGTGACTACAGAATGAAAATCTTCATCCTGCCCACTGACTTAAAAAAGAAATGTTAAGACTTCAGGTTTAGTACTCCAACTAGAAATAAAGAAAATTCCCAGCCCTTCCTAACAAGTGCCACTGGTTAAATTTCTCTCTTAAAGTCTGATACCCTAAAAATAAAAGATATCAGTGGCCACAAATTGCTTCAAAACAAGTAGCTTCAAGAAACAGAATCAGGGGGCTGGGGATTTAGCTCAGCGGCATAAGCGCCTGCCTTGCAAGTGTACAGTCGTGAGTTTGATCCCTGATACCAATAAAAACGAAACAGACATAGATATATGTGCCTTTCCCTCCCACACTAAATCCTAGAGTGACTAATAATACAGATTTACTAATACATTATTTTCCAAGATAATTCTGGGACATAGGAAGTGATCCTATCTACAGAACTAGATTGACAAGGGCATCTGTCCAGAACCCCCAAATAGGAATGCTAATATCAGCTGTGAAGGTGCAGAGCACAGAGCTGCTCGTGGAGGTGGCTGGCTGCCAGTTGAAAACAGTAGCAAGCTCTGGTGCAGTCCCAGGTTAGTGACAGGCAAATTTCTTTAGTGTAGCAGGACAGGACACCCACTTTCCTCTTTCCAACAACTCTCCCATCTCTATGCTCTCAGAGAAAAACTCTTCACTGAGCCCAGGTGCAGGAGTCCCAAAATCAGGATGGCATCCAGGTGGCTGCTATACCCAGAAGGAAGAGACAGCCCCCATCTCTCCCTTATAGTTCATTCTGACAGACTGGTGAAAAGTATCTATACACACTAACAGAAGGCATTTCTTAAATCAAACACAATCACTGCAAATAAAAAGGAATTCCAAGAAAATGAGAAACTAAATATCTGAAGAGTTGCAAGAACTAGGAGAATCAAACGTACTCAGATATAAAATGAGATCTAGCCAGGTGCTGCATTCCTGTATCTCAGCACTGACAAGGACGAGGTAGGAGGATTGCCAAGAGTTCGAGGCTAGCCTAGGTTACATAGTAAATTCAAGGCCAGCCTGAACTACATAGCAAGATCCCTGTCTCAAATACTGAATGAATGAATGAATGAATGATCTCACTCATGATGAAAACCTACCATACAGGAAAAAAAAAAATCAGGAAACACGTGATAAAAATCATATGGGGCCAGGGATATAGCTCAGTGCCTTACGCACTTGCCTGGTAAGCACAAGGTCCTGAGTTGGATCCCAGGTACCAAAAAAAGTTATCTCTTAAAAATCATATAGAACTAAAATATAAAAGAGTATGTATAAAACTTGTGAAATTTAGTTTCTCCACATTAATGTCCACCACCCAAAAAGGACAAACTATTATACACTTAACATGCACAAATCTCAAACATAGGCTGAGTATAAAAGAAGTTTTGCCCAAAACACATATACTACATGAATTCACACACAGGAAACCCTAGAAAATGTAAACTAATCCCTTCTGCCCCTGAAAGCAAGCACATCAGAGGCTGGAGAAGAGAGAGAACAGACTGCACAAGGACAGGGAAATACTTCCTATAGTAACACAAATCTTGGCTGTCAAGAGATCGGGGATGGTGTATACATATACGTGTGTGTGTCCCCATCAAAATGCCTAATTTGTGCACTTGTACTGGATGCAGTTTACTGTATGTAAATTATACTTCAGTAAGCATACTTTTAGAGCCAGGTACAGATGGTATACAACTGTAATTCTAAACTAAGGCAAGAAGATAGTATGTTCCAGGCCAGCCTGAGCTACAGATCAAATCCAAGCCCGGCCTAGATTACATGGTGTGACCTAACTCAGAAAACAAAAAAAAAAAAAAAAACAAAAAAAAAAAAATACTTTTATAAAAGAGGAAAAAAAATGTTGCCAAAAGAAAGGTCCACAGATATGTTCAGCCCCAAAATGAAAACAAAACTAAAAACTTCTCCCATACTGCCTTTCAAGTATGAAGGAAATGACAGAATCCAGAACTAGAAACCCCAGTATCTATCCTTAAGTGATTTCTATAAATTTCCTGAGGCAGAACAAAGATATGAATTACAAGTTGAAAATCTAAGTGCTTAAACAGAATCAGACCTAGACCAGTGATGGTGAACCTTTTAGAACTTTCAAACAGCACTTTGCAGCACGGGTACCACAGGTTTACCACCAATGACCTAGATATAGCCTACTGAATGAAATTCAGGAAATCTTAAGGAAAATTCTCAATTCCTTCAAAGATGTATAACCCACATTAAAGTAACAGTAGAATTTCCATCAGCAACAGAAATGCTATAAGAAAATAAAGGGGAAAAAATGGAGAACTGGCTTCAAACTTACAAAGAAAAATTTAGAAACTTTAATCCATCCAAACCAGTTTTCACGTGAAAAAAAAAAAATCTTCACACAAAAGTGCTTAACTTTTACTATTCAAATCAAAAGCTTTCTCTAGGGCTAGGGGCATAGCTCCGTGGTAGAGAGCACTTGCCTAGCATGTATAAAGCAGAGTTCAATCTCTAGTACCACCCAAAAAAAAAACTTTTCTGACATAATTAGTAGATGCATACCAACAAACTTTTAAAACACTCAAGGGCTATAAAAAACTAAGCAATTATTTTATTCCTGAGCTATAAGCAGAGTAACCAGTACATGCCAACTTTTAAAAAAAAACAAGCAACTGGGAACTAAATACTTAACACGATTTCAACATAGGAAGTCGAAGAGGAAGAGAAAGGAGAAGGAAGTGAAAGCAAGCAGCATTTCTGTCTTGTTGAGAAAAGGAAGAAAAGATAAAGATTCCCATTAATTGTAAACAAGAACAGAGAAGTGACAGTTTAAATGTGTTTAAAATGTATGGGTAACTCCAGAAGAAGAAAAAAAGAATGTATGACTTTCAAACAACTAGATACAGATAAGAACAGGGTCCTATGTTTCTGGAATGGGGGATGCTATGGATTGAACTTCAGAGCCTCGCTTGGGCCCTGCCACTGAGCTGCACCTCCAGTCCTAGAGGGTTTCTCTTTGGAGTTGTTTTGGGACAGGGTCTCGCTATGTAGTTCAGGATAGACTTGAATGCATTAACCCACACTGGCCTAGAACTCCTTGCAATCCTTAGCCCAGGCTGGTCTCAAACTGGTTTCCATTCTTTAGGCATATACCACCATTCTCTAAGCATATACCACTTCGAATGGCCCTAAAGGGTTTCTGAATGTTCTGCATAAGGAAATGACAACTGTTCAAGAAGATGGGTATGTTTACTTGATCTGAATGAACATTTACACAATACATACATTTTTCAAAACATCACATGGAACCCCATTTATATATGTGACTTCTATGTATCAGTTTAAAATATTGTAAAGGGAGGGCCAGGGATTTAGCTCAGCAACATACATGCCTGCCTGGCAAGGGTGAGGTAGTAAGTTCGATCCCCAGTACCAAAAATAATAATAATGATAATAAGTAAAGGGAATATTGTATACAGCTTGAAATACTAGAAAAAAGCCAGGCATGGTAGTACACACACCTGTAATCCCTGCCCTTGGGAAGCTGAAGCAGGAGGACTGTTGGCAAGTTTGAGACCAGCCTGGGCTACAAAGTGAGCTCACGGCCAGCCTGAACTGCATATCAACACCGTGTCTCAAAAGGACAAAAAAAAAAAAAAAAAAAAATATATATATATATATATATATATAAGCAGAGAAGTTATTAAAGATAACACATAAACGAAAATAGAAAATCACCATCACAGTATTCTTGATCAATAAAATCAAGCATTGGAAGAGTCATATATATATATATATATACACACACACACACACACATACACACACATACACACACATACATACACACACACACACACACACACACACACACACACACGACTTCCTGTAATCCCAGAACTAAGGAGACTGAGGCAAGAGAATTAATAGTTCAAGCTTGGGCTACAATGTAAGACCTTGTCTCAAAAAAAGAAAACAATAATAATAAATAAATTATTTTTAAAAAGCAACTACATGCAAGAAAAATAAGACCTAGTTTCCCTTTAAATAAAACAAAATCAAACCCAGATGCATCTGGCACCTACTAATAACACCAGCAACTTGGGAGGCTGAGACAAGATCAAAAATTCAAAGGCAGACTAGGTAATATAGCTAAATCCTATCTCAAAATATCAAAGGTGACAGTACATAGACAAGGATTTTACAAATAAACTAATGTATATGTAACTTTGTAACAATAAGTCTTAAATGTACAAATAACTTACAGTAGCCAGAAAAAAAGTACAAAAGCCACTCACAATGAGACAGAAAACATGAAAATCTAAAGCACTAAAAACTGTTCTTTTTCCAATACTGGGGACTGAATCCAGGGGTCCTCTATCACTAAACTGTATCACAGGCCTTTCTGTTAAGGGAAGGCTGACTAAGCAGGACTTAAACTTTGATCCTTAAGCTTTTGCCTCTGTCAGTGCTGGCGATACAAGTGTCTACCCACCACAGCTGGCAACTAACTAGGGCACAGAAAAATCTATGAAGTTTCAGTCATTCCACTAGCACAGTCTCATATCAAAACTATAAGACT